GCTCGCCAGCTACGCCACGCGGCAGGGCGGCCAGCCGCTCGTGGTCAACCTCGACCCGGTGGAGGGGATGCTGAGCCTCCCCGGCTCGCTGAGCGCGAGCGTGTTCGCGACGGTGATGGACCCCGAGGCCACGGACGGCTGGGGGGGCACGCCCACGAGCGGGCCGAGCACGGTGCCCGTGAAGCTGCCGCTCGTCTACTACTACGGGGCCAGGGAGCCCGAGAAGGAGCCCGACTTCTACCGGGAGCTGGCGAGCAACCTGGCGGGCAGCGTGAGCGCAAGGTTGAGCGAGGACGAGGACGTGAAGCGGTCAGGTGTCATTGTGGATACGATGGGTGTTGACGGGGAGAGCGAGCTTGGCGTCGACCTCTTATCTCACATTATTGAGGAATTTTCCAGTAAGTGTTGCGATGGAAGTCGGGAATGGGGATAGCATGGGATCAATATGGACTAACAGGGGGGTTTTGCGACGTCCACCAGTCAACGTTGTCGTCGTGATAGGCACGCCATTGCTCGAGCAGGAGCTCGCGAAGAGATTTACAAGCGTCAAGACAAGCCTGGGCGAGCCAATCGACATCGTCCTGCTGGACAAGTCGGACGGCGTGGCCCACCGGGACCAGAACTTCATGCAGCATGTTAGGGAGGCCTGCATCAAGGAGTACTTCTTCGGCGATGCTCGGAGAACGTTAAGTCCTCAGATCCAGCAGGCCGACTTCGACAGCTTGGTCATCTATAGGGCCTCTGAGAGTAAGTACTCCACACCTCCTACACACTTGCCTTTCCTTCTTCTCCCCTTCCCCCCCCAAGCCCCCCGCGCCTAGGAGCTGCAGCGTGATGGGTGGTGCATTGGGCTAACTGTGGCAACCTGTAGTTGTCCTCAACGGATTCGCCCGTGAAGAGGCATCGGTGGAGATGCAGCATTGGACGTTTGCCATAATGAGCGCCGGACCTCGAGACTTGCCTGACACAGTGCGGGCGTCCAGCGTCATGGGCTTTGTGTATGTATCTGACGTGGATGAGGAGAGGAAGAAGATTAAGCTTCTTGCGCCTGTGAGTGGTCGGCTCGGTGATAAGCCGCTGGTCTGGGGAAGCTGGCCAGAGCCGTTCATCAACTTGCTGGGTTAAGAAGGAGGCTGGGAATCATGGTTTGGTTGTAGCGAGGGCCATCGCCCGTCTTGCTATGCCTTCCCCCCCAAGAATTGGGTTTAGTAGCTCGCTTAGTTCAATGATCAACCTGATTCGTACGTAGGATGTCAATATTTACGCTATTTAGAAAGGATCATGTCATTCTGGTGTTTACCCATGGCTTCAGTGCGAGTTTGAGAGCAAGACATGGCAAGAAGCGACGTCTCGGCAAATGCCCGAGGTGATGCGCTGGGGTGAAACACACCAACACGTGCCGGTGCATCTCACACCACGACCAGGCATCTCTCCCATGCAGACTTACTATAATTTGCCTGCGATGTAACGTGTTGAATAGTTCGGGCTAGTCTACAGTAGGAGAGGAGCCGGCTGTGACACGTATTTGCGACGGACATTACCGGCGACCGGCAGGCTTTATGCTATACTTGCCGTTCCCGTCGGTAGATAATTTTCTCTTTCCCCTCCCTTCGGAGGATATGTCGGTGCTCAAAATAAGCAGCTGGGGCAGGTGGAACATGATTTGATGGGGAAGCTTGGGGTTGGTCCCATCCCATCTTTTCTTGGGAGGGGCATGGCCCGGGGTTGTTTATGGTTAATGTCCTACTGAGCGGACATTGCCCGAAAAAGGGACGATCTATTATGCTTATTGGCGGATGGCGTAGAATTAACTTTGGGATGAACATTGATGATGATTGTGGTGGGAGCTGTCTCAGTTTGCTGCCTCGAGCCGCATATCCTGATGGATCGACCAATGCTCTGAGAATTAATGCATCCTCAGGCTTCTAACAAGCCAGTCAACATAATGAACCCTCAGATATTGAAGCACACATCCTGAACTTGAGCCGAGGGTATTGTGTGGTTAGATCAACGAAAGTAGTGTGCTATTCAGAAGGGATACGCATGATACCGTCACAGTGAGCCAAGAGCTCATCTTCCCTGAGGCCTCAAGTGGAGAGAGTAATAGGATGCTCGCATCATACCCCTCGTTGTCTCGTAGAGGTTCCACGTACCTGGCAAGCTTGGCATGCGTGGGATTGTCGTACAACTTTGCTACGGGCTTGGCCGCACGAAATGGGGAAAAGACACGCGCACATCGCTGTGAGGCCTCCGGGTGCCGGCATGACGCACGCCCACGCAATCACACGCCGCCCGCCTCTTGAGGTGACACAGCCGGGCCAGGCGGCGACGGGCTCGGGTGGATGTGGCACTGCCCTGCTCGCAAGGGCCAATGCAGCAAGTGGGATACAGTACGGCATGCGGCGCCGTCAAGTCGGCCTCTTCCATGTGGTTCTACGCGGGCCAAAACTAGGCGCCGGGTGCAAGGGTGAGACAAGGGCCCCTTCCAAATATCGGGGCCCCTGGATGGCGAATGCTGGTATCCGGGTGCGAAAGCCCGAAGCGGTCACGAAACAAAAGGCTCAGCTTGATCGGAATTCGCATCCGGGTAGATAGGCCGCCTCGTCTGGAAGAGCGGCGCTACACACCGCTTAGCGTTGATGCGCTTTTGGTCGTTGCAGTTTTCTTTCCTGTTGCCACGAATATGGAAAAACACAAACAAAACCAAGAAAACGATGTGCCATCGAGATGGGACAATGACCCTTGGACCGGCTAGCGCAGACAGTTTTCGTTTTCGTGATCTGAGGGGTGTGGCCGCAAATTCCGCAACATCACGAGCCACGGAGTCTGTCCGTTGCTGGACTTGGCACAGCAACCCCCGCCTTGGCCTTACTGGATACAACGATGCCGATGTTGTTCTGATCACCAAACACCTACCAAATGGAGGGGGTACCAGCAACCCCCTCATGACCCCATGATTTCCAGCTCTTGATGGTTGATTGATGAATACGTGACCCGGAGGTGTAGGAGGTGGGGATGTGATTGGTTCGTTGACCATGTCCGGCCAGACACTGAAATATGCTTAAACTTAGTGCCCCACGGCCGTAGCCATGGATGAAGGAGGGGTTCAGAGTTCGCGCCGCTCAAGCAATAGGGAGGTGGCATCCTTATCAGCGAGGTTGCGTGGGAGCAGCGAAGGCGGAACCGAAGAATAGAACAGGTGTACTTTTCCCTTATCGCCCACACACGTGCCCATGGCTGGCATCGGCTGTTGCATGCATGAGGTGGCTTTTGGCTGCATCTCCTTTGACGTTTTTTTTTTCATGCACGAGCCGGCAGTGTCGTAAGACCACTTGCTCGCGAGGAGCTGCAGTTGACTTCCACACAGAGAGAATTAGCTTCAGCCATCGGAAACCGGGCGGCTGGCCGGCGTGGGAAGCCAGACCCGAGGAGTATGCTTGTTGTTAGACGCAATACGCAATCCAATGGCCACAAAGGTATCTTTCGGATTGGTGGTGGTGCGAATCTGCCCCTCCATGCTCCCATCATCCATGCAACCATGTTCTCTCGACCAGGCTCAAGTGGAGTGAGGGGCAGAGAGAAAGAGAGGGTCCCCTAGCAGGAGGGACGAGATTGACTGGAGAGGCTACACAGATCTCGCCCAAATTTGGCAAGTGAACCATCTCGAGCATGAATTCGTGAATCGCACCCCGGCGTCTCTTGGTGATTATGTCCGTCCCTTGTCTTGTCTCTGTCGCTGATGCGGGTGTCTCGAGCCCTGCCACTCTGGCTGTCTTGTCTTGAAAGTGAATGTACCGAACAAAAGGAAAGCGAAACAATAGGAGATCGCCGCTGAGACGGCCAGGCTGAGACGGCTGGAATGCAAACCAAAGCATCATAATGCCGACACCCAAACCTGAGTTGCCCCTCAGTGCATGGCTGATGAACGAGTGATGACGACTGAAGGCTGCACCTGTTCAGTCAGCGCACTTCTGGGTAGCACGGCCAATCAGCGCCCTCCAGGTCCACCCGCTAGCCGTCTCGTGACCTGCTAGCGCTGGCCAAACTCGGTGCGACACAGTTTGCCAGGACAGTGTGAGGCTGCCAGCCAATCATCCGCAACCGCCCTGTATCTGCTTGCTTACAGCGAGGAGCTCTCTGTCCTGTAGCAGGGTTGTCCGCTGTGAGGGTGGATCGTGATGGGTCAATGCTGGTGTGCATTCCTCCAGCCTCTGAGATAACGTACAGCAGCTCGCTGATGTCATTACACTCGATACCGCCCACATAGGGAATGGAGCAAGGGGGAGAAGACAGCGAAGAAGCAATGAGAGACATTATCAAGGCACGGGAGAAGATCGTCGTTCAGTTGCAGAATCCCATGCATCTTTCGTCTGCACAAACCAGAGAACCTAGCATTGACGTTTGCTAATGTGGGTTTGTTCGCGAAGTGTCCCCCAGGCTGTCAATCACTGACGAATGCCGGCGCTGGATTGACCACTACAAGGGCCACGTGCTCAAGGCGCAGCAGCACAGCGCTCCCGCCTCATTGCCTGGCGCACTGTGCAGGGACAGCCCGCCTGGAGTTTCGTCTCGGGAGGCGGCACGCTGGCACAGGTACCGCACAGTGCTGGAAAGACGTGTACGTACCTGTCTGTGGCGGTGGGTAGGGGTGCCTTGGAGCGATGTGGGGGGAGGGGGCGTGCAGCAAATGGCAGTGTGCACTGCTGGTGGGGGGCATCGCGGGCTGCTAGGGGGAGCAAGCAGCCAGGAGTTAGCGGTCGTTGGCCGAGTGCTCCCCTACACCCTCCCTGTAGCTCCGGCCTGCTCTCGCACCTCGCTGAACATGGGTGGTGCATCTGTTCTGGGAGGCTGTCTGGGTTGCGGCTTCCCAAGACGAGGTGTCACAGCGATTCACCTTGCTCGAGCCGGATCCCACATACTAACAGCATTCACACACCCACATTGCCATCGTAGTATGTACTAGCAATGCGTCTCGTCTGTCGTGGCGCAAGGATAAAGAGCCCTGTCTCCCGCAAGCGTCCAACGACTCTTCCTTCCTTCTTTCTTTCTTCCCTCCTACCTATCTTACCTTTCTTAAGGTTAAATCCTCCTCTCGATCGACTTCTTGTCCGTCGCCTCTGCACGAGCCCAACCAGACTTGTCGCGTGACCACCTCCAACGCTCCCCTGCCACTGAGTAAGCCGTCGCTTGCTCTCCCCCCGCTGCCTACCTTTGACGCCTATACCCATTCGATGGGAGAAACCGAAGTTCGTAGTACGAATGGTGCAGACCACGCCAGCTCCTCTTCGGACTCGTCGACCGTCGGCAATCCGGACGACCAGCCTCCTATAGCGGGTCTACCAGAATTAGCCATAGAGAAGCCAATCTGCCCTCATACGCTTTCCGCCCAGCGTGTTGCTGAGAGTCTCTCCAGCCACATCGACCATGGGTTAAGTAGTGAAGAGGCTGCCGCCCGCCTTGCCCGGGACGGCCCAAACTCCATCAAAGGTGCCAAGGGACTCTCCCTCTGGGAGATCTTCCTGGCCCAAGTCGCCAACGCCCTCACCGTTGTCCTTATCGCCGTGGCAGTCCTTTCCTTTGCCATTAACGACTACGTCGAGGGTGGCGTCGTATGCGCTGTGATTGTCCTCAACATTGTTGTCGGGTAAGTCTTGATTTCGGTTGCTCACGTGCTCCCCCCTACGCCTCGATCTGTCAAAGATTATGCTGTATCTCGTGCTAACATGCCTCAGACTGATCCAGGATTACCGTGCCGAGCAAACGATCCAGTCCCTGTATGCCCTGTCCACCCCCAAGTGCAAGGTTATTCGCGATGGTGTCAATGAAACAGTAAAGGCCGAGACGCTCGTCAAGGGTGATCTCGTCGTTCTCGCTACTGGAGATGTCATCCCTGCCGATTTGCGTCTGATCCAGGGTATTAACCTGGCCACTGATGAAGCCCTTCTCACTGGTGAATCCATTGCTATCTCCAAGAAACCCGAGGCCGTCTTTACCGACGCCGACATGCCCATTGGTGATCGCACCAACCTCTGCTACTCCGGTAGCTCTGTGACACGTGGTCGAGGAACTGGACTCGTCATTTCCACCGGTATGAAGACTGAAGTCGGCCAGATTGCCGAGCTTCTTCGTAAGTCGAAGAATGACATGGAGGGCAAGACTGCCGTCCAGAAGTTCTTCCTTAAAGCTTATCAGACGACCCGTGGTATTCTTGGACTCGAGGGCACACCGCTCCAGGTCACCCTTAGCAAGTTTGCCCTGTTGCTATTCGCCTTCGCCATACTGCTCGCCATTATCGTATTCTCCGCCAGCCTCTGGCATGTGAGCAATGAAGTCCTCCTGTACGGTATCTGCGTCGGTGTCGCGGTTATTCCCGAGTCACTGCTCGCAGTCTTGACTGTCACCATGGCCGTCGCCACCAAGGCAATGGTCAGGGGCAATGTCATTGTCCGTCAGATGCCTTCGCTCGAAGCTGTCGGCGGTGTCACCAACATCTGTTCCGACAAGACCGGTACTCTCACCCAGGGCCGCATGATCACCCGAAAGGTCTGGCTCCGAGGAAACTTGGAGGGATCTGTCGAAGGAACTGCGGATCCCTACGACCCAAGCAGTGGACAGGTTACATGGTCAGCCCCTCTGGCCGGAAGCTGCCTCAGCCGCTTCCTCAACTGCCTGGTCCTCTGCAACAATGCTGTCGTCTCGGACGGCCGCAAGGAGCCGGAAACGGACTCCTCTAGCGTCACCACTGCTGCGGATGGTACTGCCCAGTGGAAAGCAACTGGCGAGCCTACGGAAATTGCGCTCAAGGTGTTCGCGATGCGATTCGGTCAGACCGCTGGTTCCGATGAGCTGATCACCGAACACCCCTTCGACTCCTCATGCAAGTTGATGAGCGTTGTCTATGGCAGCCGGATCGAGAAAACTCGCAAGGTTTACACCAAGGGTGCTGTGGAAGTCATGATGAAGATCCTCAACGAAAGCGAGGAATTTAAGAACGATATCCTTGCCAAAGCCGATGAACTCGCCGGACAGGGTCTTCGAGTTTTGTGCATTGCCACCAAGTCCATGGACGATTCCGAAGAGGTCAATGAACGCTCCAAGGTCGAGTGTGACCTCGAATTTCTCGGTCTCGCTGGACTCTACGATCCACCCCGACAGGAAACTGCGGGTGCTGTCATCCAGTGCCGACAGGCCGGTATTACCGTCCACATGGTCACTGGTGACCACATCAAGACGGCCACCTCGATCGCCTACGAGGTCGGCATCTTGGACAAATCTGCGGTCCTCCCACCAAACGCCGTGATGGCCGCAGCGGATTTTGGAAACATGTCCGATGAGCAGATTGATGCTCTTGAGAGTCTCCCCGTCGTCCTTGCCCGATGCAGTCCGTTGACCAAGGTTCGCATGATAAAAGCACTCCACCGTCGCAAGGCCTTCTGTATCATGACTGGTGATGGTGTCAACGACTCGCCTGCCCTGAAGCAGGCCGATGTTGGTATTGCAATGGGCGACCGAGGTTCCGATGTCGCTAAAGAGGCTTCCGACATGGTCCTCACGGACGACAACTTTGCCTCCATTGTCACTGGTATCAAGGAGGGTCGCAGACTGTCCGACAACATCCAGAAGGTAAGTCCGAAATTCTCCGTCGTGCACCTCGAGACAATTTGCTAATATTTTTTTTAGTTCCTTCTGCACTTGTTGACCTCCAACTTGGCTCAGGTTGTTCTCCTTCTGATTGGTCTTGCGTTCAAGGACACATCAAACAACTCGGTTTTCCCCTTGTCTCCCCTGGAAATTCTCTGGGCCAACCTCATCACGTCTTCTCCGTTGGCTCTCGGTCTTGGTCTCGAGGAAGCTCAGCCAGATATCCTCAAGCGCCCTCCTCGCAGTCTCCGCACTGGTGTTTTTACCAAGGATCTGGTCCGTGACCAAATGGTCTACGGTACCTGCATGGGTGCTATGTGCTTGATGACTTTCATGCTCACAGCTTACGCTTCTTCCGGCAATGGATTTCACGACCTTCCCCACGGCTGCAACGAGTCTGGGGATAACGGGTGTGACGGCGTCTACCGCGCTCGTGCTGCCACCTTCTCGACCCTGAGCTTCCTCCTCCTCGTTACGTCGTGGGAAGTCAAGCACTTCCACCGCAGTCTCTTCAACATGGACCCGCGCTGGCCCGGTCCTCTTTCGGTCTTCAAGACCATCTACCACAACAAGTTCCTGTTTTGGTCTGTGGTGTGTGGCTTCCTGGCCACATTCCCTGTCGTCTACATCCCATACCTGAACACTCGGGTCTTCAAGCACCTCGGTCTCACCTGGGAGTGGGGCGTTGTCGCTGGCGCCGTCGTTTTGTACCTCGTCTTGATCGAGTCCTGGAAGGCTCTCAAGCGGGCTTTCGGCTGGGGTGTGGACAGACACCCAGTTCTCACCGCTGCTGCTGAGGTCTAATTGCAAATATGCTAGCCTCGGAGAAGTTGTACATACTATCTTGACATAGTGGATGGTGGTGGTGTGTGCTGGAGAACAGGGATGGTCCTAGTGGCCAGTTGCCTTCTCTTTTTTGGCAGGTTTTTACAGCAGAGGGGACAATTTGATCTCACTGAATGATTAGCTAGTATTCTTAGTTAGTATTCCTCTTTGGACAATTCTATTCTTTTCCTGTCAAAACAGTTGCCCGCGTGATCTGATGTTACAATGAAGTGACAGCCTCTTTGAAGCCCCAAAAGAATGTCTCCGTAACATCTCCGTGCTCTCTCCACACCCTTGTGACATGTACTTTCTTCACCTCGTCTGCTTTCTCCTCGGCCGATTGAGTGGAGCGAGCAATCGGAGATTTTCGGGAATTACATGGAGAAAACATGGACATAATGGGAGACTAAGTTTAACCTTGCGAGAGTGAGTAGTTTCCTATGCTGTGACCAAGTTGCAGACGGTGATTCTAGTGGTGCGAGGCCTCGGTGTTTTGCTGCTACGCTTCTGCCTGTCGGAAGTCCGGCCATGACTCATGATCCAACGGCAGTTTGGTGGGGCAGATCGGCCGGAGATGAGACTAACGATAATCTCAGATCTCGGCAGGGACCAGTCTCGCAAATACGAAAGATAGGGCCTGGGCACGGGCTATTAGGATCGAGTGCCGGGATCTCTGTGTGTCGGATTTCCGAACTGTGGTTGGTGGTTGGGCTCATATCATGGTTCGTGAGCGGACATTTCGCTTTGCTGCTGTAATGGCTATATATATTCTAGCCATGGCATTAGATCGCAATGTCTTCGCTCGGTACGTTGATACCTATTCCTTGCGTTTGATCTTCTCGTCAAGATGAGCGTCGAGTTAGTCCCGAATACCGGCATGTCTTCCTCGGCCATCCGGCAGCTGGACCGCGACAACATGGAGAGCAGCGACGAGCAAACCATCAGCGGAAACAACAACACCCAGACCTTTGAAAAGAACGTCTCCGACTCTGAGACTCCAAAAATGGGCCCGCCCCTCATCAGAGATGCTCCTCCCGCCGCACCATCACCTCCCCCAGACGGCGGCCTGGCTGCGTGGCTCCACGTCGCCGGCGGCTTCATGATCTTCTTCAACACCTGGGGGATCATGAACACCTTCGGCGTCTTCCAGACCTACTACGAGTCCGGCGCCTTCATCCACGCCTCGTCCTCGGCCATCTCCTGGATCGGCTCCGTACAGGCCTTCATCGTCATGGCCACGGGCATCGTCTCCGGCCCCGTGCACGACAGGGGCTACTTCCGCGCCCTCCTCTTCACGGGCAGCTTCGCCATCGTCTTCGGGCACATGATGCTCAGCATCAGCAGCGAGTACTGGCAGGTCATCCTCTCCCAGGGCGTCTGCGTCGGCCTCGGCGCCGGCTGCCTCTTCACCCCGACCGTCTCCCTCCTCCCGACCTACTTTAGCAGGAAGCTCGGCCTGGCCATGGGTTTAGCCCTCGTGGGCTCCTCCCTCGGGGGGATAATATATCCCATCGTCATGTACAGGCTGCTCGACACCCTCGGCTTCAGCTGGAGCGTCCGCGTCGTCGCCTTTATCGCACTGGGTACCCTCCTCCTCCCCTGCGCCGTCATGCGCATCCGCGTGAAGACCGCGCGCCCGCGCGCCCTCATCGACCTGACGGCGCTCAAAGACACAAAGTACATCCTCTTCACGCTGTCGTGCCTCCTCGCCTTCATGGGCTTCAGCGTCATCCAGTTCTACCTTTCCTTCTTCGCCGAGTCGCGCGGGCTGACGGGGAGGGACATGTCCTTCTACCTCGTGGCCGTGTTCAACGCCGGCTCGTGCCTGGGGCGCGTGCTGCCCTCGGCGCTGTCGGACTGGTTGGGCCCGTTCAACACCATCGCCCCGGGGACGGCGGTCTTCGGGGTGGTCATGTTCTGCATGCTGGCTGTGAGGAATGAGGCGGGCGTTGTGGTTCTGGCTGTCCTGGGGGGGTTCTTCAGCGGTGTGCTGATTGCGCTGCCGCCCGTCTGCTATGCTAGGTTGACGGAGGACAAGGCGGTGATTGGGACGCGGATCGGGATGGGGTTCAGTGTCATTGCGTTTGGGATGCTTGCTGGTGGTCCCGGGGCTGGGTCGATCCTGGGGGGTCCGGACGACCAGCATTGGACGAGCGTTTGGGTGTTTGGGGGTGCTGTGGCGGTCGCTGCCGGGTTCTTCTTCTCGGTGTTGGCTATTTGGCAGTACCGGGCGGGAAAGAAGACGAACTCAGTTGCTTGAGTAGAAGAAGCAGATGTTCCTGGAAGGCAGACGTGAGCCTAGACTTGGGAACTGGGAATGTTAGGAGGGGGTTGTGATAAGTAAGACACTGGGAGGAAGAAATTGACCGTGAACCCAGTGACACTAACCGAGGGATAGTAGATAAAATTGTTTAATGGATAGAATAGACTATGGCAATGTGTAATAAGAAAATATCGATGTGTGTTCATATGACAAGCCTGAGTGTCTATCTCTACGTAATGAGTAGATATTCATTGATATTCCATAGCTTGGAGAATCATCTCTTAGCGAGATAAAAACAAAAGTACATGAGATAATAAAATCGCCTTGGATCCTGCTCCAAATTCACATGATGTCAAGTAATCTGATGCCTCCCTGGATCGTGTTCGACGTGATGAAGCCAGACCACTTATTCAAGATAAGTACCCCTGATCTCGGACCCAAATCTATCCTTTGCCAAACTACTCACTGTACGTGATCCTCGGCAAGTTGTCGTAATAAGGAACTACAACCTTCTTCCGGTCCTTCGTGTCCCCAACCATTGCCTCCGTCCCTGGATGAGTCGGCGACCTGTCCACGATCAGATTCACAGCACTCGGCCCAGCCTGCCCCTGAAGCCGCCGAATCACCTCGGGGATATCCTCGATCCTCTCCAGCTTCGCACTGCCATTCCCCAGCGCCCTCGCAACCTGGTCATACTCGGCCCCCTCGCTCAGCGACGAGATCGGCCGCGCGGACTCATCCCCGCCGTACACCATATCCTGGCCGTTCAAGCTCATCCCCCAGGCGTAGTTGTTCACCACGACCGTCAGGATGTTCAGGCCGTGCCGCTTGTACGTGTCCAGCTCCATGAGGTGGAATCCCGCAGACCCGTCGCCCTGGATGCTGACCACCCAGCGGTCGGGAGATGCGACGGCTGCGCCCAGGGCGTGACCGAAGCCGTTGCCGAGGAATCCGAGATTCCCGGTTGACTTAACGACTGCGCTGGGAGAACATGCGGCCAGTGTGTCCGCGCCCCAGAGCCCGGCCTCGCCGCCGTCCAAGATGACGATGGATCCGGGCTCGACGCTGGAAAAGACACTCTTCAAGGCGTGGTACGGGTGAAGACGGTTGGAAGGCTGTAGCGGCGGAGCTTTCTCAAAGGGAGAGGGCATGTGCCGAAGGGAAAGGACATCTTTGACCCATTCCTCGTCAACTTGGCTTGGAGATGTGCTATCCTGGTTGATGGAGTTCATGGCAGCGAGGAATTGGCCGCAGTCACTGACGGCTCCCAGAGCCACAGGCAGCACGCGGCCGATTTCTCCGCCATCTACATCCACTTGGATGAGCTTGCAGTCTGGGGGTATGATCCCCCCAGCTCTCCCTCCGAGGAACATTCCGGTTCTGGCCCCGAGAAGGAGGACGAGATCGGGGCGTTTCTTGCCGAGTATTTGGAGATAGGCAAGCTTGTCGGCTGATCCACCGGAAAATTGGGAGTCTGGAGGGATGGTTGATACACTATATTTAAGCGTATCGAATACAGGAACATGATACGCTTTGGAGAACTTGACCAGCTCGTCTCTGGCCTGTGAAGTTCCGCTTAGCTCGTGCCTACGCTTGAAAGACAAAGGGTGAGAGAATGGGTACTAACACTAACAGAAGTTGCTCCAGACCCTGCGATAACAACTGGGCGGGATGACGATTCAAGAATCTTCCTTGCTTCTTTCACTGCCTCTGTGTTGACTCCCGGCCCATACGTGGAGGGTGAAGATATGGACCCCCAGGAGATGAGAGGCTTGTGGATAGGAGAGAAGAGAACATCGATTGGGAAATCGAGCAGAACCGGGCCTTAAAATCAAGATTCATCATCAGCCTGATCTATCTGATGCGTTTACTAAAGCATTATTACCTGGTGTGCCAGACAAAGCTGTCCGGATAGCATGAGAAACCAGCCTCGGGGTCTCCTCCGCATTCGTCACCCGGACAGCGAGCTTCGTCAGAGGCTTTGCAGCAACAACCTGGTCGATGATGCCCTGGAGGCAATTGGTCTCGTTGTCTCGCAAGGGAGGAGACGAGGTGATGCAGAGGATCGGGGAGCGATCGGCTAATGCAGTCGCCAGTCCCGGGAGACCGTTTCCGAAGCTGCTCTTCCCGGTCACCACCTGGCTAATATTGGATAAACAAAAAGACCGGATGGGTAGTATCTCACCCGCTGTTGGCGGTTACGAAACAGACGCCGATCTTGCTGCTGAACTTGGCATAGGCCTCGGCGGCCTGGACGGCGACTGTCTCGTGGCGCGTGTCGACGAGCCGGATCTTGGCCAGCTCGCAGCCCACGAGGAATGCGTCCAGATGGCCTCCGTGGAGACCGAAGGCTACCTCTACTCCTGCCTGTCTGAGGCTCTGGGCGAGGAGATCTCCGCCGGACAGCTCGCGGGAGTTTGGCTCTGTGAGGGAGAAGCTGGCCATGATTGGCGTCGTGCCTTTGATACTATTGAGCGAGAGAAAGTTGATTAAGGGTGATTATGGAGAAGAAGTGTGAATGATCGAGGCTAGATTCAAGATGGTCATAGCCATGGTCTATTGACTATAGTTGATTGTAGCATCAACTGCGTATTAATACTCGCTGTGCATATCCATCCCTCCAGCAGCAACCCCGCAGATGCGAGCTTCCCCTCACCCCTCAATTTTGGAAGCCGCAATATGTTGAATCATGATTCGACACAGTCAATGCCGTGTGGAACAAGCTGGACTCATGCCGAGGCCTGCGGCACCAATGCAGACAGGCGGCCATGAAGCCTCCTAAACTTGGCCTGTTGCTGACTCGACGTGTCGGACTCGACATACATTCCGAAAGACCTTCGGTAATGTTTTAGTCCCGTGTAAGTAGATGGTGAATTGGATATTGATACCCAATGATATCTTAGCTGTATGCTGATGGCCTACTTAGGGGGATTTCATCAAGACTATGAAGAAAACATTGCTGTAGGAGTCCTCAGCTCGCCACCACCCGACTAACATAACAAGGATACCCATCCACAGGATGCAAACCTCCAGAATCACTCTGGTACGCCCGATCTCCATGTAGCGTCCGTATCGGCCCCCCAAACAGTCTCCTCCTCACCCTGGCGAACCAGCCCATCTCGCGCTCCCTCTTCGCATCGAAGTCGGCATAAGCATCCCTGATCTGCAGCTCCCGGCAAGTCAGGATAGCAGCAACCTTGAGCTCGTTCCAGACCAGAGTCTGACCGATACAATTCCTAGGTCCCGCCTCAAAGGGCCGATATGCTGCGTCGACAGGGTACAGGGGATCCTCAGGGCCGACGAGGAACCGCTCCGGGAGGAACTCCTCAGCGCGAGGCCACACGCGAGGGTTCAGGTGCAGCGCCTGGTGGAGGATGTTGGCCCCCACGCTGTCGTCCATGGGCTGCAAGTTGCCCTGGAGATCTGTGATGAATGTGCCCGGTGCGCCCCAGCGCATCGTGCCTGCGGGTGCGTGGAGACGCATCGTCTCCTTGATGACGGCGAGCGTCAGCGGGCACTTGTTTAGAAGACTCGGGCTCTCCTTTATAAGATCCGCAGCGTCCGCGGGTGCGCTCCCGAAAACTTCATCGTGTTCTTGGCGCAGCTTGGCCAGCCATTTGGGGTGTTTGGATAGTCGATGGTAGACATAGACCATCATCGATGCGGTTGTGTCGTTGCCGGCAAAGAGAAAGACGCGGATTTGCGAAGTGGCGTGTCGCGCAAAGACCGGGTCGATTCTATCCTGCTTCTGGATGTCCACGTTCTCATTCTCTTTGAAGTATGCCTTCAGAGCGAGGGCGATGACGGACTTGTTGGAGGTAGAGCCTCCGGTTCCCTCCAGCTTTGCTTCCTGGAACCGCTCGTCGAGCTCCGCACGAATATACTTGTCCATGATTCGGCCATTGTACTTTTGAATAATTGGCCGAAGAGGGTTCATCAAGATGAAGGGGTTCCAGAAAGAATGGACTGCGATGATGCGGCGGAGGGCTGTGGCGAGTACATGATCGGACCGTTGATAGTTGGAGTCGTGGTCACTAAACATGACAGGCAGTGTAAGCGGGTGATCAACAAGTCGATAAGGAGTAATGGGAACACGAACAGGGAGACTTTTAGAATAATTTCCATCGTCAGTCGCGTGGTCATCTCGTCGAGAGAGAAGAAGCCCTTGCCGACCATGTCAAACAGCTTCTGGCGAAAGACAAGCACAGAGTCAACGATATGAGGGACATTGTCCAGCATGGCACCAGAGCTAAAGCCTGGGCTAAATAAAGATCTCCAGTACTTCCATTGGCTCCCATTCATCGAGAGGAGATCGGGACCGCCGGCCACGGGGTGCATAGACTTGGATGCCTGCTCCGTCTTGGGCAGGTTGTACTTGACACAGATTTCGTGGATGGCCTCTGGGCCGAAGCACATGTAGAGAGCGGGATAGACGGGCCAGAAGTCCATAAGGAAGAGTTCCGTGTCGGTAAACTCCTTGCTGAGATCTCTCATTGCAAATGCTACTGCAGCGTAGGGCGGGATGCCGTCGACATACTTTTGGAGCACCAGAAGATGGCCAAAGATCCAACTCCATCCTTCGGGCATTGGCTATACAGACAAGACAGTTAGATATCAGTAGACGATTCAAATCAGGCATGGATGCGGGTAATTAGGTTTATAACTTGCAATGCCTTGCTTCCGGAGCTTGTTGATCTTGCGGCGATGGCGGAAAGTCGCCTGGACAATGTATCCGACTGTCGTTGCCAGCACGGCGCCAATCGTCGACGCCAGAGTCAGCCACGCCATGATGGATGATGTAGAGAGGGGCAAAATCAAATCGGAAGCCTTGTAGAAAGAGGAAGGCAGAGCTTTTGGGAGTGCTGAGGAGTGTACTGAGAGAGGAGAGAGAGAAGCCACACCGATTGATGCTGTCAGCACTAAGAGGCATGGCCAATCGCAGACGGTGATTAACAATTAGCAATCGGGTCGTCTAGTTGAACGTTGATTCCGCATGACATAAGCCCGGTGATCCCTGTAATTCTGGTTGTGGCCGGGAGGCCTTGTTCTGAGATGAGCATCTCTGACCGGGATGTCTTACTGTAAGAGAGTCCGCCTCGCCTTGTCCGGCACGGCGAGAGAGTTGTAGAGCAGGTAGCCGACTTGGTGGTAGCAAGGAGCAAACAGCGAGTTGCTGATCCATTCAGGGATAGCTTCCTGCAACGATTGTGATTAGGCACAAGAATGAACAGCAGATCAAAGCAGGCGTACAAGAGCCAGCGCACCACGGGTCCTCGTACTCGGCTGGGATGAAGGAGAATCCAAGACGTCCCTGACTTCAACTTATTATATGTAAAGTCTACCTATCAATGCATTTACTAGCCTCCTCAGCCTGCCTAAAACTCACGCCGCTTCTTGGTGCAGTAGAGACGTTCTCTCGTTTCAGACTCAAACTGACCCGTCAGCATGCAATCCCTCCTTGGAAAGGGCACGAACTCGCCATTGGTGCTGAGTCCAGGGAGGGGTTTACTTCCCCTTGTATAAACACGGATCCCTCGACTCTCTGCTGCTTTCATGGTTTTGGGAAAGCAGAGACTGCGACCAAAGAAAGAAGGCATCTGCTTCTGAATGTCTTGCAGAAAAACAGCCTTGAGGTTCTTGTAATGCCTCGATGTGATCATTATCTCGACCGCATCATCCAAATATTCCAAATCAGAGTCAGAACTCTTCTCCCACGCCTGTAAGAAAACAGGGTCATTTTTTTCAAACTCAAACTGGCCGAATGTTATGACTTCCATTGTGGCTGGCAGACCGTGTCGGAACACCTCGAAGAGCCGATCAAGAAGCTCAGATCGGGATCGGGATTGGATGTCGTCTTTGGTAAGGTCTAGGCTGGTCTCTATTGCCTTCCAGCTCACGTTGGCCACGCGAAGGTCCTTAAACGACTTGAGCTGGCCTGGGGTCCTCCAGTTCATGTCTGCCGGTTTTTCGTCTTGTCGGTCATCATGTATGCATAGCCGCTGGAGGGATGAGCCCTGGTGTTTGGCGAGCTGGTGGATCAACCTCTCGGCGATCTCTGGATAATCCTCTTCGCAGTAGTTGTTGTCGCGGAAACGGATAGCCAGATTCTCAAGACGGCGCGGAATACTAGTCACAAAGTCTATCAGTTTGTCGCTGAGCTCATATTCCAGCCTGTCGAGAATGATTGTCTTGACGGACGATGTTTTGGCCAGCGAGGGTATTTGGATGTCCTTTGGGAAAAGACGACTCTTCTCCTGCAGTGGAAGTCCTCCGTCCAGATGAGAAAAATAAATTTCAGCGAGGTTTGGCAAGCACAACAAGGCGCAGAACTCATCGGCAAACCTCCTCAAGTACTCGGGGGGGTTTGCTTCGACTCCGGCTCGGTCAAGGCCTATGGCGACGGCAACTCTTTCCAACGAATTTAGCCCAGGCAGCCAGGTCCCTGCAGACTTGCACCAGTAAATGAAACCGCACAGCGTTGTGAGGCTCTCATTCCTGCGCTCGTCATCAAACTGGGCATAGCGAAGAGCCTGGATGCGCGGCAGATAGGCGAGGACCACGGCTTTGACAAAGCTATCTCCGCCTTCAAACGGTTCCCGGAACAGTTGATTGAGATCCCTGTGCTCGCCATAAAAATGCGGCAGCTTCGGCATCGTGGCACAGAAAGAGTCAATCTCGTGGCGAGAGAGCGACCTAGGCTTCACGTCCTCGTGTAGAATCCTCTCGCCAGTGTCGGCATTCACTCCCCAGGATTTGTATTCGTTTCTCTCGACCCAGACCTCAAACTCTCTGACGTGCCATGCCTCGATGGAAGCGGCGCCATCACTGAAGACACTCCACAAGAGTTTGGAGATGGTCCATGGATCAAGATCAGAACATATTCGATATTCTTGACATGCCTTGCGATGGCGGTCGAGGATTGGGAGTGAGTTGAGGTATATATATTTGCACGTCTGCGCAAGAGGCCAGTGGCCTGAAGCGTGTGTGTGCTCAATGATGAGCTCCAGGATCTCCGGGGCGAGAGTGCTGAGATACGGGGTGATGCACATGACCGATGGGACTTGTGGGATGAACGTGTGAAAATGTGTACGAATCGAATATCGTTGGCAGTTGGGCCTATTTGAAATTGCCAAACTTGCCCAAGTCTTACCCCCAAGTTCTAACCCCAAGTTCCTTTTCCTGCTCTCTTAGCCAAAATATGACATTGAGAAGAGGGCTTAGATAAGTTTAATTGTTCGAACCAACAAACATGCCAAGACTCTACCATTCTTGTCGCTTTTTCTTGGCCTAAATGCTCTAAAAATATCAACATGATCTGATCCTTGGACCAACATGTCGAACCAACATGCATAACTGCGATGCACTTGCAACATCAGCTGCTTAGCAGCATCCACTCTCAATTGACAAATACACTATAAAAGTTGCTCACATTATGTAAGACCGACAGAAGACTTTGACTGCCAGGTGGCTGAGATAAAACATGACACATCTGGATAGTTTAGCGTTGAATTTCAACACAATATCAGAGTAATTAATCTAGTACCGGAGACAATATCAAGCTAGATATCATATAATTGTTTTTCTTCTTATATTATTGTGTTTAGTTAAAAACGAGGTCCTTGCCTTACGCGAAAAGAGCTTTGGTGTGCCATGTTTTATTTCATCCACTTGACTACAATCTGCCTTCCCTTATACCGTACAATAAATACCTATCCAACCAATTCAGCCCAATATTTCCCCCTTTTATCCCTTTTATCCTTTTTTCCCTGTTGTGAATCCAACTTAAATTTCCGAGTGTCATTACCTTCATATCGTCAAACGCAATATCGATGTCGCACCATACGATGCATTATATCCCGTCATAAGTCCTAAACAAAGACAGTGCAACGTCGTTGCCGAGCTCAGTCGCCAGGGTCACCGGCGTTTTGCCTTGATTATCCTTGAACCGGAGAGTCTCGGGCGCTTTTTTCATGCACAGTAGGAGGAGTTCACGGTTAGTATGCCTGCAAGCAAGATGCAGAGGAGTGTAGCCTTGCAGCTCGTTGGTATCACGCAGCGTCAGATCGGCTCCATGTTCCACCAGCATCTCAGCCACGTCAACATTCCCCCGATTGATAGCCACATGGATTGGTCCACCCTCTTCTGTGATGAAGTTGATGTGCTCCTTCAGCAGGGGAAGGCCGGCGAACGCCTCGCTCAGGAACTCCTGGCTCGCACACTCTGCTGCCACGTGCAGCGCATTTCGCGGGGGGAGGCCAGGGCGCAGGTAGAGCGAACCCCAATCAACTTCATCTCTCCCCAGTTGGCCAAACGAATCGACAAGAAACTCGAGAGCCCTCAAGTCGTCTGCCTCCACTGCGGCCATCAAGGCGTTGAACCCGTGGCGACCAGGCTCCAGCCTAGCACCACGACGGACCAACATGAGCGCGGCATTGTACTGGGAACATCTTAAGGCTTCGGCCAGCAGTGACTCTCCATCATCTCGTGCAGGATTGACGCGCATGCCTCGGTCAATGAAAAAATGAAGCAGACCCTCGACGTCAATTTCCTTTCGGTTTTGATGGACTTTAAAAATAGCCCGCAAGATAACCATTTGGTGGCGATTGAGCTGATCCACAGACGTGTTTACGAGGAGAGATTTGAGAGGCTCCTGAGGACGCTCTGCATAGTGCATCATCGCTGCCTCGAGAACTGTGAGACCAGAGTAACGGCGCTCGTCCATATCAAGCTCGCCTCCCTTGGAGCAGACAAGCCTCAAGATTGGGAAATCTTCATCCACGCAGCACTCAACCAGCAACCTCTGGCATGCTGCCGTGCTCCAAAACAATCGTTTCATGGAATTGGAAGTGTTTCGCAATATCTTGAGGATGATTCGACGAAGGCGCCCCAAGTGCCAAAATCTATCGATTGTTTCAGTTTCGAGTTGAGGCTTGGCCTTATCAGCTACTTTTTCCGTGCCTAACCCTTCCAGACACATGATACCTGGCTGGCCAGTCTTCTTTTCGTAGTTTTCCAGGATGCCCTTGCTCAAAACACACTGTAACGCTGCTTCAATTGACGGCTGGACCATTCTATGCTCCTTCTCAGATACCTCAATGCTCTTCGATAAAACGTTCCTGCAGAAACGGGGCCAGAAGCTTTTACCCCGGTCATCGCACTGCCGGAGCATCTCGGGGTCAAGGAGTCTGGTGTACACGCTCATAGACAGCTCGCGCCTGCATGATGGGTGCGAGGATCGCTCAGGTCCGCCATACTCTATCGAGCTCAGCAGAACCGTATTCTGGAATATGGTCTCGGCAGCAGTGAGGCCGGAATATGACATGTACGGGACACCATGACAGAGCTCAATGAGCAGCTCGGTGAACTCCAGAGTAGCAGACATGTTTATCCAATGGAGCGGAGTCCATCCATTGTCATCCAGCTCAGAAAAGTCAGCGCCGAGGTCACGCAGACTGCGAAGCAAGTTGATATCTCCCCAAGGTACGACCAAGTGAGTGAGAGGTCTTTCGACACACCAAAGTGATAGTCTGTTCCCGAAGTGCTTGGTAAGCATCTTGGCGGCTTTAGGCTCGGTGTCAGTCTTGATGAAAGGTTTTTCGGACAGGAAGTCGGTGCTGAGCAACGCTTCAACGAGCGGGGTACGCCCAGCAAGTGTTTCCTTATTCATATTGATGTCTTTGGACGGGTCAAAAAGACACAGCCATTCGAGAAGTTCAGGCTCGTTGGTTGCTGCGACCAGGTGCCAAATGGTCCGACCGTCACGGTCAGACTCTGTAGTAGAAGCACCATGTTCTAGAACAAGCTTCTCCATCATGGCAACACTCTCAACGACCATGAGAGGAGTTTTGCCATCTTCGTCTAAAGCTCCCAGATCGGCCCCCGCCTCGGCCAGAATGTCTACAGCTTCAAAGAAGTCATCCGCAACGGCGATGTGCAGAAGTGTGTTGCGGCGTTGAAATTTGTTGGTTGGCAGACCTGGATGGAACCGAGGATCCAACACACAGCGGCGGAGAGACCACGCGTCATCACCGACGATGGCAGCAACGGCTAGGTGGTTAAGTGCTTCGTCCGGGATACCTAGCTTCCCATCGGCTGGTACGGGGTTGAGGTTGAGTTGGAGGCGAGACATGGCCTCGCTGAGAGCCGCACCCAAGCCTTCAGTGCCCATGTCTGACTCAGCGAGGACGCAGTGATCAAAGAGCATGGTCAGCAGTCGTGATACGAGATCTCTCATATGGGTTTCTTCTTCATTTAGGTTCAGATCTTCGATAAGTTTGGTGAGGGCCTGGTTGAAAACAGGTCCGGACTGAATGATGCGTTGCAGGACCGAATCGTCTCCGGTCTTGAGCGAAACCCAGAATGCCATGCCAGACACCGAAAGACTCTCGTCGTCCGTATCTTTTAACCCATTCCCATTGCTGCAATCAGCACTAGCATCCAAGAGCCTCTTGATGGCGGGCGAACGGTTGTGGCTAGCAAAGTGACGACCAGAGGAGGGGTTCCAAGCCCTGCCGGCCATGCGGTTGACGAGAATATCGGGCCCAACCAAGGCGCACCACAGGGGCGTCCCGAGGGCGCCTATCTCATTGACATCGGCACCCGAGGATATTAGTCGACCGCATAAGCTGGGCAATGCGAAGGCTGCAGCAATGTGTAAGGGACCAATCTTCCCCGTGCACAGAGCGTCGGTCAGGTCAATCATAGGATACTTGGAAGGTGTATGCCAGCCAAACTCGTCAGGCCACACTTCTCGGGCGAAATGCAAAATCCAATTTATGAAACCAAAATTTGGGGAAATTGTGCTTGGTGCAAACAGCGAGAGAACATTGTCCTCGACAGCGGGCCAGAATTGCTCAGCATAGAGAGGCCATTCTGTGGCGGCATGGGGGAGTCCCTGACATGTTTTCTCCATGAGCTCGGCTACTACCCTTTCGTGGTAATATTCCCCTGGCTCGTAACATTTGAGGCTCAGAAATGGGGACAACCATAGAGAAACGTCGTCTACAGATACGGGCGCATCGCCTTGTCTCTGCCTCAAATCAACAAAGCTTCGTGAGTTTCGCTTGACGACAAGGTCCTGAGTCTGGAGTCTGAAATCAAGCGGGGGGTCTGGGCGAAAGAAGGACAGGCGCAGCAGCACATTTTGAGGTGAGGTGGCCGTGTTTATGCAGAAAGAAATGGCAGCGCAGACCCATTCCAGCTTAATCATGAGAGCCGCATCGTTGCTTGCAAGTGCGGTGCCCATGTCGGCTGCGAGAAGGTTGATAGTAGCCTCGCAGCTCTGCAAGATTGGGGAGGGAACCTCAAGTCTACATCTATCACCGCTGGGATGAGTAGTCTTGGCCAGTTCCTGTTGGTGAGCGCGAGATAGACTCTCATCGAGTCGGCTTAGCGCATCGTCAAGAGAAGATAGCACGATCTGGAGGCGATGCTGCATCCATGTGTCCCGAGTTAGGTTGTCCTTGGCATATAGGACTATCGTGGATATGGATTGGCGAAGCGACTGGATATACGTAGCCATGTCATGGTGCTGGTGCTGGATTTGCCCCATTGTTGAGATAGGAGGCCAGCAGTGGTAAAAGTGGTTGTGGTGGGGGGCAGTTCAGCGCAGAGACCAAGGGGGTCTTGCGCAACTATCAGGCTCTCCTCTGGGCACAAAATGATTAAGAAAGTAGTAGGAGGATAGTCGAGATGACTACAAGGCAGCACCGAGTCAAGCTCAGTCCATGTGGTGATGGTTCGGTTGTCCCACCGGCCTCCCGGCACTCTCAACGCAGATCGTGGGGCAAGGCTGGTCTTGGCTGCTGTGGGTGGAACTGTGTCGCCAGTGACATGTGTGGGTTGGAAAGCGAAGAAGAGAGTGAAGATGTTAGTCGTGGATAGAGCTAAATATGATGGCGAAGAGAAAGAGAGAAAGATTAGGTGTTCGTTTTGTTCGCCTCGCCCAAAAGCAAAGCTGCCTGAAGGTGGCAGGCGGCAGCTACAGTAGCACTGGCCCAGGGAAAGAGCAGCCCACATGTAGCCCCCAGGTACCGTGTACAGCGCTCAAGCAGAGTCTCGCCAAGTGGGTGACATAAGAAATGAGACACTCGAACATTAAGCTGCTTATTCTCGAGTCTGTGGCCGGTATTATAAGATTATTGAGTACTAATAATATAAACTTCAGAGATAATACGGCATATGTTATTACCATATTTCATTTTAGACCACTGTATTTCTCGATTCAAATTAGAAGAGCCTCTATTTAACCACTCTTCCTTTTGGTGTCTCATTTCTCATGTCCCTCACTTGTTCGCTCGCTATTGGAGGTACACAGATACGGTGACTAAGCAGCGCTGCAGAGCTCCGACCATCGCCATTGGCCTCATACCATCCCCCCACCTCAGTCCTTCTTTCATTTGTCGTCAGCTCTTCGTGTCACGGTCATCTCCATGTCTGTGCAAAGTTTGATGGGTTGCAACCGGAGCCAGTGCTACCACATAATATGCAACATCAGCTCACCGTGACCCATACTCATGCAGTCTTTGCTGCACTTCTCCCAGGCTCGCTCTCCTCAGTCCAGCCTGACTCCTCCACCATGCGACCATTCTTGTATCTGTCTGGCTTGGGCCAGTCTATATACGCCATTGTTACTCAATAATCATTCCATAGGAATATGGCACATACAAAGTCCTGCCCACATACCCGCTATTTTGCAAATGGCTTGAACCGAGATGAGGCCCTTGCTTGTCGGCGACAACCATCTCACTCAAGGGCGTATATGCTGTAACAAGTTCTTTTCTCCCCACCATCTGTCTCACATCTGTAATCATGCAGCTGGCTCCAACCTTGCGCTCCTACAAAGCCCAGGCTACCTCGCAGGATATCATGGCCGATTGGCGCGTTTACATACAGGGTTATGCATCCATAGATCGGGAAGCAGGTCCGTAGATCGCTTTGTTGCTGGGGTCAGAGTCTTACCTTGATACTCCTGGCGGCTGAGGTTGTATTAGAGCCTAACTCTTGCAAAAAATCACCTCCCGCTCCAAGCCAGAGGCTGCTGTCATCGGCTCCAGCGACTTCTCCTTCAACCCAACACCCATTTACCCAGGGCCGTTGAAGGACTTCCTTTGATCCATCCAACATCTCGACGTACGTTGCGACAAGCTCATACTCCACATCTCTCCGCCATGCCCAAATCAGACGTTCCTTTTTAGCCGCCATCCTGGGATCTTCGGCCCTGTGGCAGGACTCTACGATGCAGCCAAGTCGCGGCTCGAGCTCTATTAGCCACTTTACCCGGCTATTATCAAGAATACAAGCCCGGGTCGAATGTATAAATTGCTTCCATTTTCCCAATCGAAGCCATGTTCTCGTCCAAAAGAGCTCTATACTTGCTCCTGCCCCTCGATCTGAAGTTGCAGTAACCCAAGATGCAGTTCCGGCCTCTCGTTCTCGCCGCGCTCCTCGCTCCCGCCTCGGCCCAGCTCCATCAATGGGCCCTGAGAGCCGGCCTCAAATACTTTGGCTCGGCTACTGATTCGCCCGGCCAGCGAGAGCGTGCCGGTCTGGAGCACGTCTACCCCCAGTACGATGCCATCCTTGCGAACCCGGACGAGTTTGGCCAAACGACCCCGACCAATGGGCAAAAGGTAACCCAAGCTCCAGCCTCTCCTACACCCCAATTGGCAAACTCAATTGGAATGAACTAGGTTACTGACAACATACCAGTGGCTCTTCTCTGAACCCGAGCGGGGCGTCTTCAACTGGACCGAGGGCGAGATCGTCTCCAGCCTCGCGCGCGAGCAGAACAAGATCCTGCGCTGCCACGCCCTAGTCTGGCACAGCCAGCTGGCCCCCTGGGTCGAAGCCCAGGAATGGACGGCCGAGGAGCTCACCGAGATCATCACCGCCCACGTCACCAACGTGGCGTCCCACTGGAAGGGGAGGTGCTACGCGTGGGACGTCGTCAACGAGGCCCTCGAAGAGGATGGCAGCTGGCGCCAGTCCATCTTCTACCGCGTCCTGGGCGAGGACTACATCAAGCTTGCGTTCCGGCTCGCCGCCGAGGCGGACCCCGAGGCGAAGCTGTATTACAACGACTATAACATTGAGAAGCCCGGAGCAAAGGTGGACGGTGTGCTGCGGCTCGTGACGATGCTGCAGGATGAGGGGATCAAGATTGACGGGGTGGGCATGCAGGCTCACTTCACGGCCGGGGAGGCGCCCAGTCTCGACCAGCAGATTGATGTCATTCAATCTTACGAGGCGCTGGGTGTTGAGGTTGCTTTGACGGAGCTGGACGTGAGACTGGACAAGCTTCCTCCCACAGAGGAGCTGCTGGCGCTGCAGAAGGAGGACTACAAGAATGTAAGTCTACAATCTCCCACAGACAGGTGTTAGGTTGCTTTCAAAATGGCTAACTCGACCTCCCAGTCTGTCGGCGCATGTGCTCAGGTCCCTGCTTGCATCGGCATCACGCTCTGGGACTTCTACGACCCATTTAGCTGGGTACCGTACACCTTCGAGGGCGAGGGCGCAGCGCTCCTCTGGTTCGAAGATTTCTCCCACCATCCCGCTTATGCCAGCGTCGTTGCTGCGCTCAAGAACGCCACCGGGCTATGCAACAGGTAAAGTGGGTTGTCTTGGGTAGGTTCGCGTTCGAGGAGACCAGATCCCAAGGGGCAGAACGCTACCCTTTGCCTTGGGGTCAGTAACAGAAGTTCACATCAAGTTTTGGGACCAAACGTTGTTTCGTATCTTAGAATGGTTTATATTCACCATGAATCAAGCGACGCAAAGGTCAATCGCTATATCAATCGCTCAACCCAACTCCAGTGATGCCCAGTGGTTCCCTATATGCCAATCCTCCTGAACCAAACTCCGCTCTAAAAAAAAAAACAGTACAAATGAAACAGTTCATGCAATGATATCTAACAGATCTCAGACGCCAATCTTCCTTTGTTCGGCGATTGCGACTGGTGTTCATGAATGACCCCTTTTACTTAGGGTAATTCGGTAGGCGTGGGCTTCTTGCCCCCTTCATATACATCCGAAGCGCTCTCCGAATGCAGCTCGGCGGCGAAAGCCTGCCCCTGGTGCGGCACGGGGTGACCAGACATCGGGTGGCCGGACATGGGAGACGGCGTCCGCTGGTTGGGGACGTACACCGACGAAGGTGGGAAGGCGCCCTGTGTGTGTATCACCTGGTTGTAGTGAGGATACAGCTGGCCGTTCGCCTGCTGCTGCGCGTACGGGTCGTACGGCATCTGCGTGGCGACGGAGGGCGTGGACGTCGCGGTGTACGACGACATGTGCGAGCCGCCCATCTTGGTCTCGGGGTAGTTCCCGCCGTACTGCTCGTAGGATCCCGTGGCTGAGGCAGTCTGCTGCCTCCGCCTGCGCCAGAAGAAGAACGCCAGGCCGGCGATGAGGGCGAACCCGAGCACGGCGCCGACAGCAATCCCGACCTTGGCGCCCGTGGGCAGCCCGCTGTTGCCAGCACTGCGCTGCTCCGCGGTGAGGAAGGGCTCGGCCTGCTCCCTCTTGTCGTTCAGCTTGGCCGCGAAGATCTTGCCGTCCGGGCAACCCGACCCCGTCTCGCACGGGTTGACGGAGCAGCACCCCATGAAGGGATTGGGCTTGGCCTCGGCGCAGGTCCACCACTGCACCTCGGGCGCCTCGCTGACGCAGAGCTGGGGCTTGAGGGAGTTGAAGGAGTACTTGTCGAAGGAGGTGTACTTGAGGTTGTCGTCCGGGCAGGCGCCCGTTGCCGTCTTGCACGGGTCGACGGAGCAGCAGCCGACGAACTGGGTTGGCTTGTCGTAGCAGACGTAGAAGGACCCTCCCTTGGGGCAGGTGGCGCCCAGTGACTTTGCGACCTCGTCGGACATGATGGATGGGATAGTCCGTTTCGTATTATGAGATGTTATAGGATTAAGGTATTAGTGAATTATCGACGCTGTAGCCTCTCTGATCAGTCGTCGTGGGTGAAGTGTCTCGATACAAGCACTAGACTAGACAAGACTGGATTACGTAGAGGCTGGAAGCGTGTAGCGAACGAAGGGAAGCGAAAGAAAGGTAAGGGAGAAGAAGGAAGAAAGATGAGATGATTAAGAAAGGCGGGAGGCGACCTTAATTGAACAGCTAGAGGAACGAGGTCAGGGGATCGGAAAGATGTAAGAACATAGAATCCCGCCAGGCTGGGTACGCGGGCCCAGACTTGGCAGGACGAAATAAGAATATCATTACTGTGTCTATCACATCTTGGAGTAATACGGCGACCATCACCACCATGTGCAGGCGGCGGGCCCGGACCAAGCCGGACTAGGACCGTGTTGAAAGGTGGAGAAGAGCTTGATCAGCGAAGAGAGACAAGGGTAAAAGAGCCTGGGGATTGATCCATCTTGATTCCATGCCCCATCTGCAGGGCTATGTTCTGTGCTGCGCAGTTGCAAGTGCTTACCGGCCTTTTAGGTGAGGTGGGGACTAATTAGCTCGGAAAAGCGTCCCTGTATTGCCATGCAGGGCTAAATAAGGATAATAGAGTTGGTGTTGTCCGGACGAACCTACAAAGGCTACACTGCCGCCAGCCTTGTAGGATGGATGCAACTTTGTTGGAGGTGCATCAGTGACGGCTGGATCATGTGGTAGCGGCTGCAACGGTGCCCGTCGGTACAGCATGATACGGCAGCTCATCCAAGACACAAACGGAAGATTTTGAGTGCTCTGTGTCTATTCGTACAGCGACAGGGTGCGGACTCTGCGGAGTGGCAGGGTTCACGAGATCGTCAGCCAACATGTCCTCGGATAGTCCCATTTTGGACATAATCTGCTGCTTGGTAATTCTAGGTGCTGGAGATGAGCATCAATGCTAGAACTCAACCAAGGCCAAAAACCCAATTCAGTGTAGACATTATGACCATCAAAGAGCATTAGGGCAGGTGTTCGTCTCAGTTACAACGTAGGATCATCACATTGCTGTTATAGGGCTGATGACATGAAACACCGGGCCAACTGTTAAAAATCTGATTCAGAATCGGGTATCACCTCATTCCACAAATGGACCATCTGAGATGGTTGGAGGGCACAGGAGCTTGGTGTGCAGGCAGTGGCACATTCCCTTGTTGGTCCTTGGAGGATTATTGCCGTGCCACATGGTGAAGCCTTGATGCCTTGCTTCTTACCATGTCAAGATGTATCCTGGCACCGGGATGTAAAAAAAAATCGAGATTAAGATGAACCGTCGATCCTGCCCGAAGCCCTTGGAACTCTCGATACGCTTGGGTGAATTGGGTTGGACGAGCCGAGGACGGACCATACTGAGATCCATGCAAGATTCTCAGCATCGAGGCCTGGAAGAACTACAGGATTAGGTGAGGCCTGGGAGAGGCCTAGAGAGGCTTGTGCTGGCGGTGGGGCTGCTGTATTTTTAGAACACGAGGTGCCTGTAATCTACTAGCCCGCTGTCAGCCAACTCTTGGAAGGCTCTTCAAGGTGCACTGCCATTCTGTGGCCAACCCCGTTGCCTTTGCCAGACTTGACCTGGAGACGAGGCAAGGTGCAAGAGGATGGCGAAGATAACATCCATTGGCTTTGTGGTTGATTTCCGGATCGGCTGTTCGTCACTACGCCATGACATCACGACTGGCCACCAGCCACCACAATCGAGGCTCCAGGTGGCGCATCGGCCGCCCACCAAACCAATCCATCCAGATGCATCCATCTCTTCATCCACACGCCATCATCTATCTATCTCTACTTGAGCGAATGAGGTCTGGTACTGGTCTCTTTCAGCTCCCCTACACTACGGATGCACGTCATCTCGGCCGGTTTGTTGGTTGGAGATGGAGTTGGTGAGACCCACTGCAGAATCCTGATGGTGATACCTACAGACAGTATTACTGCCTCTTCGCAGGTAGCCAGCCAACATGGCCCGTAAGCCAGGCCAAGTGCTGAACACGGCAAGGTAGGTCAATCCAGATCTCACCGTCTTGTCTCTGACTGCTGCGCTGGGCGTTTTACTCCAATTCCGCCCGACAGCTGGATTGAGTACAGGCAGAGGCATTGGCTGGCCCTCATATTGCTGTTTCACATCCCGACAAACCTCCCAACCAGAAACCCATCCACCCAAATAATCGTACGAAAATGGGCAAACTCGGGGCCCTTCGCATGCACAAGATGCATTCGACAGTCCTGCTGCCTCATTGAGAGGCGCCAGGTCATCAGGGGAGGCTTCGGGTGGGGGACCGGCGATGGAACTAGCGGTCTGATCATCGCCGCCGGTCTGGTTTTTGGCTGGTCCGGGGCGGTGGTTGGTGGTATTTTCACATGTCACCCAGATGAAAACGTCCTCGATGAAATTTCTGTCCCAGCTCTGACTCGATACTACATAGCATATCTCGCATCTTTGTGTATATTCTGTCAATTGGCGTTGCGCTCAGCGTAGATTTATTCATCTGCTTTCCTTTCTTCCTTCCGGCGCCTGTGTACTGCTGCTCGTTGTGTGGCGGGTCTTCCCCTGGCCGCATTCTATCATTTTTGTACCTGTAATTGAATGGTTGCGTCATAAAGGAGGTTTGCGATGGGCGCCTCAACAGACGACGCCAACGTCAATCGACAAAAACAACCACAACCACAACAGGGAGAACACAGAGACAATTCAGGCCATCGCAAGGCCTCGTCGGCCACCAGCCTGGCTGAGAGTGCTGTCAAATTCTCTCTCCAGGCCCAGAAGCTCTCTCTGGAGCAGCCACAGCAGACAAATGAGACCTCCAGCCCAGCAGAGTCTCACCTGCAGCATCCATCCGCCGTCGCTACCCAGGCGCACTTCGTCACCCCTCACGACCCTGTCATTATCACTTCTGATGGAAATCGCCTCCCCGGTGTGCCTCTCGAGGAAGCGCACAAGTTGAACTCCCTGCGAAACGAGCTAGAGGGCCAGCCAGGGACCATAGAGATCAAGGAGGCTGCTGACGGCAAGACCGTAACCAACACATCTAGAGAAAATGACCAGTCGCAGGAACGGCAGCATGTCATCGAGCTACCCAAGAACCAGAAGGGGGACAAACTTCAGAAAGAGGAGAATGAAGTTGATGGCACGCTACAAAGCGCCAGGCCGCCATCACACACGAACCCGCTGTTCCCTCCGCTACCGCTGTACGGGCCGCCATCCTTTCTACGCGACCTACAATGCGCCTTCTTTCGGTTCTCCTCTTTCTTCCTGAGCTTGGCCTTTCTGGGTGTCATTGTACTCGGGTCACTATTCACCAGCATACCGCTCCTGTGCAAAAAGATCCTGTACACGCTGACCTTCCGGGACCTGGACAAGGAGCGCCCCTTCTACGCCGAGGAGATCCGCAGAGAAAGGGTCAGGAAGGAAAAGGCCCAGGCCTGGAAGAAGATGCACTCTCACAGCGCGAAAGAAAGCAAAGCCGACTTCCCACCTGACGACTACCCGCCCACCGAGGGGGGCCCAGACCCCATCAAGTGCGACGTGGGCTACTACGCCCGCCGCGTCGGCCTCGACGTCGAGGCCTGCCAGGTCCAGACCGAGGACGGCTTCATCATCGACCTCTGGCACGTCTACGACCCAGCCGAGTACACCCCGCTCACGCCCGCCGAACGCGCCCACCGCGGCCCGGACGTCTTCCAGAGCTCCTCCCGCACCCGCCTCCGGGACCCTGCCCGCAAGCCCAAGTTCCCCGTCCTCCTCATGCACGGCCTCCTCCAGAGCGCGGGGGCCTACTGCTGCAACGACGACGCCTCCCTCGCCTTCTGGCTCTGCAAGTCGGGCTACGACGTCTGGCTAGGCAATAACCGCTGCGGCTTCACCCCACGCCACGTCCTCCTCCGCTACGCCGACCCGCGCATGTGGTGCTGGAACATCCGCCAGATGGGTGTCTTCGACCTCCCCGCCCTCGCCTCCCGCGTCCTCTCCGAGACGGGCTTCGCCAAGCTCGGCCTCGTGTGCCACTCCCAGGGAACGACGCAGGCCTTCGTCGCGCTCGCCAAGGAGCAGCGGCCCGAGCTGGGCAAGAGGCTGACCGTCTTCTGCGCCCTCGCGCCCGCCGTGTACGCCGGCCCGCTCATCGGCAAGATGTACTTCAAGTTCATGCGCGTCATCTCCCCGGCGCTCTTCAGGCTCATGTTCGGCATCCACGCCTTCATCCCCTTCATGATGCGCATGCACGCCGTGCTGGACCCGCGGCTGTACGGGTGGTTGGGTTACAAGGTCTTCTCGTTCCTGTTCGACTGGACGGACGAGCGGTGGGACCGCGGGCTGCGGGACCGCATGTTCCAGTTCGCGCCCGTCTACGTCAGCGCCGAGTCGATGAGGTGGTGGCTGGGGAGGGAGTGCTTCGCCCAGCACAAGTGCATCCTCGCGACCAAGGAGGTGGTGCGGGAGGAGGACCGCATGGACGAGGAGTACGAGAGGTCGTCATCGCCCGATAATGACACGCCCGGCGGTCGCAGGTCGGCGCCGTCGCCTGCGGGGTCGTCTCCGTCTCAGAGCCCTGAGCGGTCGTCCTCGGGAACGGGTGCGTGGTACGACGAGCAGGCGCCGCCATTTGCGTTCTGGGTGTGTGGACAGGATGATCTAGTGGATGGGCGGCGGTTGCTGCGGCGGTTTGAGAGGGGCCGGGAGCCGTTTGTCGAGGTCGTGCATAGCAAGATTATCCCCGAGTACGAGCATCTGGATGTCATCTGGGCGATGGACGCGCCTGACCAGGTGTTCAAGGAGGTCAGGGAGGTGCTGTGGAAGACGTGCGAGTTTCGAGATATATGCCGGGTGCCGACGGGGTGCGAGCAAGTCGAGCCAATGGAGAGATGCAGCGTATGAGGGCCGAGTGGTGATACATGTTGCGGATTTCTCCGTTTTCTTCCATTCTGTTTGATATCAAGGGGTATATAATAACAAGCTGGTGAGCAGTATATACGTGACGAATTTACGCATGCAAGACGAGATTAGCGAGGAGTTTAGATACATGCAGCTATAGAGTGTTGATAGTTGAATACCGCCAATAGTAAAGAGATTATGATATCCATAGTAGAACACACACACATGGTATTGGGAATCAAACATAGTAAACTTAAAAATTCATCGCATAAGGAATCTACCCAGATAGAAGAGAGCGATCTAACACAGATACACTGCCGTCGTGGTGTTACTGCCTGGCCTAATGCATTGGCTATTGGATGTTAGTGGAACTCAATCCCCAAGCTGAGGATTTCCCCACGTTTCGGCTGCTGAGGCTCCCCGGCTTTGGGCCATTTACAGCGCCCAAAAGCCCCCAAGCGGAGTTGGTGCGGGGTCAGCCCCAAGGTCCCACAGCACGAATCCCTATCTCCCAGGCCGCTGGCCAATAGGAGAGACCTCGCTGCGTCATCCAGCGATTCCCCGAACTCCGTCTGACACTCCGTAACCGAAACACACCGCGGCTTGTGCTGGCTACAGCCAATCTCGGCCTGGCTGGCATCGGGCTTGCAGGCGCCATGCCGCTCTCGGATTCGAGTCCAGACTTTAGTGAGAGCTACCCCAGCCTGCTCCCAATCGAGCCCCAATTTGTCGTGATCGGCTTCATCTCGCTGTCTCCGACCTTTCCTCCCTCTTTCTTCCTCTTCTCTACTCTTCCCTGGTCCCATCTACCGTGCGATTGACCGAGGCAGCTTTCCCGTATATTTAAAGTCTCCCCCTTCGTCGCTAGCAGAGACCAACACACAGCCAGGTGATTTCCCACCGTATCTCCGCGCCATGACGATCACGTCCAAATTCGCAGACGTCGACATCCCCAACGTCGACCTCTGGACTCTATACCTAGAGGGGAAAAGGGACTATCCAGATGAACACAGTACGTGCCACCCCCCTCCCAATACAAAGAAAGACCTCTTATAGCTGACGCTTCTACCACCAGCCCTCCTCGTGGACGGCGACACCGGCCGCTCCTACACCTTCGCCGAGATAAAGCGCCTCTCCATCGCCTTCGGCCAGGGCCTCGTCCACTCCCTCGACTGGCGCAAGGGCGACGTCCTCGGCTTCTACACCCCCAACTGCGTCGACACCCCCGTCGTCAACCTCGGCCTGCACTGGGCCGCCGGCATCGCCTCCCCGGCCAACCCGACCTACACCGTCGACGAGCTCGCCCACCAGCTCAAAGACTCGGGCGCCAAGGCCCTCATCACCCAGCGGCCCTTCCTCGACGCCGCGCTCGAGGCCGCCAAGGCTGCGGGGATCCCGCGCCAGAGGGTCCTGCTCATGGGCGACGCGAGGGACGACAGGGGCGAGTTCAAGCATTGGACGGAGGTGACGGCGGAGGGGGCCTGGCTGAAGCCCCGGAAGCCGCAGGTCGATCCTGCTGTTGATACGGCGTACCTGGTGTATAGCTCGGTAAGTTGGATGAGTAGCATTGGTGGAACTGTTTCAATGCAAAGCCGACGAGAAAGTGAAGCTGACTGGTTTGCGAAAGGGCACCACCGGCCTGCCTAAGGGCGTCTCGCTCACCCATCGCAATCTAGTCGCAAATGCCATGCAATCATACAAGATCGACACCAGGTCTCTGAACTGGGACGTGGACGCCCAACTCGGCGTCCTACCATTCTTCCACATCTATGTAAGACCATGCCCAACCCACGAATTTTTCCATACACTAACCCAGATTGCTCGTTCCGCAGGGTCTCTCGGTCGTGCTCAACGTAGCCTTCGTCGCGGGCGCAAAGTGCGTCATCATGGCCCGCTGGGACCTCGAGAAGGCCTGCAGCCTCATCCAGTCCCACCGCATCACCGTCGCCTACGTCGCGCCGCCCATCATCCTCGCCCTGGGCAAGCAGCCCGCCGTCGCAAAGTACGACCTGTCGACCATCAAGTGGATCAACTCGGGCGCCGCGCCCCTGGGGCCTGAGCTGGCCGAGGCCGTCTGGAACCGCCTCAAGGTCGGCGTGAAGCAGGGGTACGGGCTGTCGGAGACGAGCCCGACCATCATGACGCAGTTTGCGGACGAGTGGTCCCGGTTCCAGGGGAGCGTGGGCAAGCTGCTGCCGAACATGGTGGCGAGGATTGTTGATACTGATGGGAAGGACCTGCCCAATGGCGAGGTATGTTCTCCAAACCGTCCCAATATTAGCTATAAGGTGATACGATATGCTGATTTACATGGATAGCATGGAGAGTTGCTCGTCAAGGGTCCCAATGTGTTCGCTGGCTACTGGAACCGACCGGACCTCCAAGCCGACACCTTCACGTCCGATGGGTGGTTCAAGACCGGAGACGTTGCGTATGTCGACGAGCATGGCAACTTCTTCATCACCGACCGCATCAAGGAGCTCATCAAGTACAGTACGTAAAGCTATCCCCCTCCACCTGTCTGTGTCTAACAACCATTTCACAGAGGGTTTTCAAGTTGCACCCGCAGAGTTAGAAGACAAGCTCCTGGGGAACGAGAATGTCGCCGACGTAGCGGTCATCGGTGTGTGGAACGATGCATTGCACACCGAGGTCCCCCGAGCATATATTGTTCCCACTCCGGGCGTTGAAGCCAACGAGGATCTGGCGAAGCGGATTTCGGACTGGCTCGCTGGTGAAGTGGCACCGCCCAAGAAGCTGCGAGGTGGTGTGAGGTTTGTGGACGTCATTCCCAAGTCGCCATCTGGAAAAATCTTGAGGAGACTGCTCAAGGACAAAGCGAAGAAGGAGGCGAAGGAGGCCGCGGGGCCAAAGGCCAAACTATAAAGTAGAGACAGTATCACATAGATTTCAAGGCCAAAGGAGTTTTCAGGGGGGGGGGACTCGTTCAAAGCTTGTTCATGAGACAGGCTATTTTGTATATACCCAGAAACTGACTGCGCCGCATCTGACTTTATCCTACATCAGAGCATGGTTTATACTTTATACACACCGTTTATAGTACATTTCTTCATAATTCTTCTAACAAACGCACCCGATTCAGCCTATCCGCTCGGCCTCGTCGAGGAGCTTCTCCACGGTAAACCTCTCATCCCCCGAGGCGAACCAGTCCAGCAGCCTCTTCCTCTCGTCGGCCCGCATCTTCCTCTCACCGGTCAGCTCGGCCGAATCGCCCTCCCACCCGCCGTAGAACCGCTGCAGGCACATAACGAGCCACTTGACCTGCTCAGGCGTCACGCCCCTGTCCTCCATCAGCTGGCCCTGCATCAGCACGAGCCCCTTGTCGTCCACCAGGTCGAGGTGGTGCGTCACGGTGGTGTGCGGCTGCGCAAACTCCCCGCGGTTCTTGAACTCGGCAAGCTGAGTGAAGAGCACGGTGCTCGTCCTCGACGAGGCATCGAACGTCCACTGCAGGAAGTGGATCTCGGCGCCCTGGCCCTCGTGCGGCACGGGGAGGACGAACTGCGGCGCCGCCCTGGCCGCGTCCTCCATGGCCCGGTACGTGGCCGCGGGGATGACGGCGCAGACGTTGTTGGGGGAGCCGGCGTGGCGGAGGCGCCAGATGGCCGTGAGCTCCTTCTCGGGGAGGGCGCGGGACTTTTCGAGGTCGATGATGTCGTCTAGGCCCTTGACTGCCTTCTTCTCGGGTGACCCAGAGGCGGGAGGTGGTGGTTGTTGGCGTGGTTTGGCCTCAGTCTTGGGGACGGCAGCTGGAGGGGGAGTGCTGGTTTGGGCGCCGGCGGACTTCAGGACCTGGGCTTCGGGGAATTCCACGGCGTCCTTGCGGTGTATCTCGCCAATTTTCTTGCTGTATGCCGTCTTCAGCTCGTCGATGCTCGAGAACCCCTCGTTCTTGGCCTTTTGGTCGAGCTTCTCTCGGTACTTGTCGATTGTCGACTGCGCTCGCCAGGTCGAAGCTAAGAATCGAACATCGTGGACTTGGGCCCATCGGCGCTGGTTGCATGTTCTTGTGGAGCGCACGGCGTACCGGTTAATGTGCCGTAGGGCTTGAGTCCGGAGGGAAGACATGGCGAGGACGGCGGCAATGGCGAGGAAGTGTCTCGTTGTCGAAGCAGGTAGAAGTTGGACAATTATTCGGGGAGCGGGAGATCATTATCAATTGTGGGACCATCGATAGGCAGTCGCCTACCCTAGACTACGAATATCACATTATGACGTGGGTTTATCTGGGGAAAAATAGGTCAGTCTGCATGAAGACAGAGTTGGACTAATATATTTGCAATTTACTTATATCTAATTCTATAGTCTCTAGTAAATATCTGTGATAGACCAGTTTTGAAACAGCTTTAGGCTGAGGAGGCTCAACCTCCATCTCAAGTTGTATGTAATCGGAGCTATTCCACTGGCAGATCACTAAAAAATGCCCCGCCTCAGATTTGCCCACCAAACTCCAGAGTCTGGTGGTGTGCTTCTTCACATGCTTCGACATTTCTCCAAACCCCAGGCGATTGTGATATCCCGAGTGAACTGGATCAATTCCTTAGGCCCTCGCTCTAATCATCCAATACACTCACGGTAGCTCCCTCGCGTGAGGATCAAGACCGACCAGGGTCAGGACCAGGCCTCAGAGCTCCGCGGCATTCGCCATGGCCGATTTTCGGCAGCTCGCCCTCGAATATGTCCTGGCCGATGATGAAGCCAAGCTCACATCTCTTGCCAAACAGGCAGCCTCGGGTAAGATATTAGACCGCCGGAACTACTATGCGCTTGTATTGACACATTGACGGCAGAACTGCAGAGTGCTGCCGCCCCCACCAACCCAGTCGCCAGATGGGTCGAGGCGGTTCAGCCATGGATGCCTGGGAGTCAAGGGGACGATGAGATGGCTGATGGCGACTCGCCAGACTGGACAGCCAGAGCCAAAGGTGATTGGCGGCTCATGCCTAAACCAAAAGCCTTTCATGAGTGCATTGCTGACCTGTTGTAGCCTTGGAGTTCCTGTCACGGACACTGGACTATCTCGGAACAGACGTCCTGAAACCAAGTCAGAGTATAACTCCCTACCTTCCAGACGACTTTAATTTATGTATGAGTTGGCGTGACTAACCGTCGGAATAGTCAAGCTGCTGGTAAGCTTCTTCGGAGCCATGTTCGACATTGATCACAAGGCGGGCATCCTGGCATCAGCAACTGCACTGTCTAGAATCTCCGCCATGAAGTCCTTCCAACCTACAAGTGCCAACGACATCATCCAAAAAGTGTGCACCCTGAAAGACGACTTCCCCCGCCAGGTCGCAAAGACCCGCCTAGCAGTCTTTGAGCTGCTCAAGTTTCTCATCACCTCGCCCGAGACTTCCAAGGCTCTTCAGTCGCGCCATGGATCCTCGGCCAGCTTCATGTCCGACCTGATACGTCTGTGCCAGAATGAGAGAGATCCGGCAAACTTGATGGTTTGGTTTGAGATACTGACGTACTTCCTCCGCGCGTACTCCCCGTCTAAGGAGATCTTAGAGGAGGTCTATAATACCTTCAAGGCATACTTCCCCATCAGTCTGCCGAGAACCTCTCCCACTGGAATTACACCCGACCAGCTCAAGCTGTCTCTAAGGGCATGTTTCTCCTCGAACAAGGACCTGGCACCACTTACCTTCCCTTTTCTGTTGGGGAAATTGGACCAGGGAGACGGTGTCACCGCAAATGTCAAGGTTTGTATAGTTGGACTTGTCTTGCCGAACCTGTGCTGATCAATAACCTAGCTTGATGTCCTTAAAACAATCCAGGCCTGTATCGAGGAGTACCAGAACCCACACGACTCCGTCACCCCTTACTTTAATCAAATTTGGGGCAGCTTGAAGTACGAAGTGAGGAATGGTGAGGTGGAGGACTCAATATGGGCAACCCTCGAGGTCCTCAAGGCCATCGCTGTGCGACTCGAAGGTGAAGACCTCCGCGACTACGCCCTGACAGTCACGCGTGACTGCGTCAACGATCTTTCGAGCACTCTCTATACGGCGCCAGCTGGTCGTCTCCTGGTCAGTGTATTGAGCGCAGGCCCCGCTTCGTTCGTCCTCATGGCCGCACCAGCTGTTACCCATATCAAGGAAAACCTGCGACACCCAAAGGCGCCTGCTCACAGCCGAGACTTGCTCAAGCTCTTGCAAGTAATCCTTGAGACACGCATCTTCCTGGTCGACGCCAAGATGACGACTTCTGAGAGGAGCGATTTCAGCGCCATCGACAGCATCTTCAAGACGCTTTATGACGACGTTTTTAGGAATCCAGTTCAGTTGGGAGCCAAGGAGGGAGCTACCGAGGATGAAATCAGGCTTGCCACTGAAGCTGTCCAAGGAGCTGGAGCACTGGTTTGCCAGCGCTCATCCGGGTCTATCGCCACCTCTGATGGGACGGTGACAGCTAACGATGAGAACGAGAAGTTGTTGCCGGAAAACACGTGCTCTCAGATTTGCGACTCCTTATTTTCCATAATTACATACGGAAATAGTGCCTCGGGACAGGCTTCTCGCTCGAAAGACTCGGACGAGCTTGTCAATTCTACCACAACTGCACTGCAGAGAGCTGTTACGGCAAATCCCAAAGCCTTCCCAACCTTAGTTGAGAAGGCATTTGAGATTGTTAATGCATCGCCTGGTGAGCAGGATAAGGCTTCATCTGCTCATGTCTTTGGCTCTCTTCTCGCCTACGTAGGCTGCTCAAAGCTGCCCCAAAAGCCGGCAGAAGGTCTGCGAAATTATCTGACGCTGGTAAAATCTCTGCAAGTGGAGATTGTCTCGAGTTCTAACGGGAGTCTGTCCGTTTGGGGTTCATTGGCCGCAAGTATCCAATCTGCTGCCCGCTATTTCAACGAAGCATTCCACGAGTTGAAGCCAGAGCGTAGCGGCGCCTCCTGGGATCCTTCCTGGGCCACGGCGATCGTGTCAAAGTATCCTGGACTCGACCTGCTCGATCGAAATGCCGTATTGGATGGATTTGATGCATCTGGATCATTGTCTGTATCTGAGGCCTACGCTGACTTCCTCCTCGCTACCCTCTACATCGTTCGTCAGCTGTACCAAAAGGCAGCAAAGGTCACAGAGGTTGCTGGCGTCAAGGCGCTGCAGCTGGATGACAAGTTTAACGGATCCGAGGGCGCTTTGGAACACCAATACCTGCACTTCATTTCTGCTCTAGCTGGGTTCGTCTTGCACGAAACCAGTGAGGAGCAGCAGCTCAGTCTCAAGGCACACGAATTCGCCCTCAATCTTTTCCGCGATGATGCCACCTCCGCCACAAACGGTGCCATTGACGAGCAATCCTCTGCCTGGGATTGGCTCATCGTTGGAAGACCGAACACCCTGTCTCTTGGAGTGCTAGATGCCCTTCATCCCTCATCCGTGTCTCATCTGGTAAGTCGTGCCTGTCTACTCCTTTCCGTACTTGGTTTACTGACCAAGTTCTCTAGTTCGAATCTGGAATTGCTCAGCACGTGCTGCTACGCGGTGTGACCATCTCTGATGAAGCCGAAGACTCTGTCTCCAGAGCAGTATTCAGGTCCATCTTGACTATCCTCTCTAACAAACATAAAATCGAGACGGTTGAGTCTTTGATAACACAGCTGAACCAGCAGGCAGAGACTGTTTTACAACAAGCCAAAAATGCCGTTGGCGAGAACAACAGCTCAATCTACACGAAATCTCTGTCCCTTTTCGCCATCGCCGCTGGAGTCCTCCGCCGGTTCTGTGGAAAGCAAATCCAGCCACTCCTCAAGCTGCTTAGCGAAGTCCCTACGGCCGGCGCCACTGGCAAGCAGCTGAGCCAGCACCTGGAGCTCGTCGTTGCGCCGCAGGCGATCCTCGCCAAGGAGAACTTCGCGGTCGTGAAGCCCCTGTGGATGCAGAAGATTTACTTCCAGCTGGTCAAACCTTTACTGGAGGCTGCGCTGGCGCCACCCGCTGCGGATGCCCCCGCCAACAGCAAAGCGAGCATCAACGTCGGCGTCCTCTCCCTCATCAAGCACATGGACTTCCCCATCTACGAGGAGGACTCTGAGAAGGTCATGCGGATCGCCATATCGACCGCCCAGAGCGATGCGGCCGGCGTCGCTGACACTAGGGCTGCGCTGGAGGTGCTGAAGAACATCGTCGTCGAGTCCCCCGATAAGGGCGAGTCCCACGCCCGCAGCATCATTGACATCTGTGTTGGCGAGATTTCTCCCAGGAAGACCTCGCGCGAGCGCGATGCCGAGACTGGCAAGATTGCCATGGAGATCATGGTCGGACTGCCGCGGTTGTTCGATTCGCGGCATCTCCTCCCCCACCAGCCCCAGGTCGAGCGGGAGCTGGCACTGGCCTGTGGAAACCCAGTGCGAGAGTTACGAAAGCTGGCGAGGGTGGCGAGAGCAGCGTGGTCGGATCTAAAATAGAGCTGGGCATATTCTTAACTGGGTACATATGTGTATACAACAAGCTGGTGTATGGAGGGGCGCCTAGTGCATTTCATAGAGGACGGAACATCGGTCGGGTTGGATATGTCAAGTAAGAATGCACATCCTAATAGCATCGTCTCTTGCAAACCTTTTGAAGATCCATCATTGACCAAATTGAAAACGGTACTCGTGAAATAGAAACCGATGGCTGTATTGAAACCCTATTTTCCGCTCCCAAATGCAGCGTACTCTTACACGTTTGAAACCCGGTTTTGTCCGCTACCCATAAATCAAAATCACACCTTTTTACGCCTTTCTCCTCTTCCCACCGGCCTTCTTCTCAGTCCCCGTAGCCTCGGCCTCTTTTTCTGAACCGGCGTTTAGGACTGCACTCAGCAGCTCTGGGTTCTCGCTCAGGAGCTTTTCGGATGCGGCCTGGATGCGCTTGGAGTCTGCCTTGCCGACCACGGAGATGTTCGTGGCGAGAAACTCCTGGAAGGGCTTGGGGACGAACAGGCCGGTCTCGTCGAAGAACTCGCTGAAGGGCTTGGAGATCTTGAACGCCTTGATCTTGCCGGTGGACTTGTCCTGGATCGCGATCTTGAGTCGGTACACGGGCTCCATCTTCTTCGTCTCGCTGGCAATGAAGAGCTGTATTTTTGGATAGGTTAGTCAGAGTCGAGGCTGGGTTTTGCTCAAAGAGACGTACATCATCACCTGAGGGGGCTTTCCCTTGGTAGATTGTGCCCTGCTCGACCTTCCACGTCCACAGGGTGAGGGCGCCGCTGAGGACGGTGTATATGGCGACGGCGACGGCCGTGTAGAGCTTGGTCGCCTCCCAGCCGAACTTGTAGTCCCAGAGGGCGCATGCGGCGGCGAGGAGGAAGGACGAGTAGCCGAGGGCCAGGCGGACGTCGATCATGGAGTGTGACTGCTTGAATTTGATGGAGTTGAGGTAGTTTGCGATGGCATCGTCGGCGGCGTTTTTGAGATCTGTGGTAGAGCGGGATTGTTAGCTTTGGGCGCTGGAGGAGCTTGAACGCGACTTGTAGGTGGTGGTATGCATACCTGGGAGGTTGTAAAGGGTGATTTTGTCAGCCATTGTGGGCGGATATGCGAGAGAGATCTCGGCTAGTAGATTGGGAAGAGTCGATAGGTAACAAAAAGAAAGAAAGAAAGAAGAAGGAACAAACTGGGGTATCGTGAGGATCTCGAAGTTGGTTTGCTGTCTAATGCGATAATCGATACGTGGTGTTGAAGGGACCGAGTGGGGCGCCCACCCAAGTGGGAAAGCAAGCTGTCATTTTGGCTGTTCCTTCGGCGCCGGCGGAAACCAGCCTCCGACCACAGCTCAATTGGAAACTGAACTCGACCGTCATCATCTTCCATCTGGCACCTCAATCCATCAATTCGCTGTTCGATCGCGACCAAGGCTTCATCCTCCGCAACCGACACCATGGCGCAAGTTCCCGATCAGGTGATCGTTCGGGATCCCCAGTTGTTGTAGGCGCTCCCCTCTGCTGCCGAGCACCCCTCCCAACTGAACACGACAGCTAACCATGGCCCGCCCAATAGCTACTGGATTCTCTTCCCGATTACCATTGTGATGGTGCTCACCGGTGTCCTCCGACACTATGCCTCCGTGATGCTTGCCCCCGCGGCCAAGAAGATCGACGCAAAGACCATGCGTGAACAGCGCTCGCTGGCCCGCGGCATCGCTCTCCGCACCAACTACCACTCCCTCACCAAGAAGTCCTTTGAAGCTCGACGAGAGACCCTGACCGCCAATTACGAGTCCGGCGCATACCTGAAGGAGCCGGACAGGAAGGGCCAACCTCCCGCCAACCCCCTGTCCGACCCCTCCCAGATGGACGGCATGATGGGCATGATGAAGAACAACATGGCCATGATTATCCCCAACACCCTGATCATGAGCTGGATCAACGCCTTCTTCAGCGGCTATGTTATCAGTATGTCGCCCACCAAGTATCGTCCTTACGCTATACAGTCTACTAACGACTGAAAATAGTGAAATTGCCCTTCCCTCTCACCATCAAGTTTAAGAGCATGTTGCAGGCTGGTGTGCAAACCAAGGACATGGACCCCCGATGGATGTCCAGCATCAGTTGGTACTTCCTCTGCATTTTCGGTCTGCAGTTTGTCTACGTGTTTCTGCTTGGAAGCGACAACGGTACGTCTTCACCTTCACATGCTGCTCAGGCTGTAATACTGACTGCAACAAATCCAGCTGCCAGCCAAGTTGCCCAGCAAATGCAGGCCCAGCAGATGCCCAACCCCATGGGTGGACCTGGCCAGGACCCTGACAAGCAGTTCAAGGCCGAGGCTGAGAACCTTGCCGTCGTCGATCACTACTCTGTGTTGGATGACGTTACGGACCGATTTCTCGAGGGTATCAAGGCGTAGGTAGATTGTTTCTTCTAACATCTCTTTCTAAGGACATAGAGTATCAAAAGCTCCGTTGAATATATCGTTCCGATCCAATTATCTCGGTTCATTAGTTGTCCCACCAGAGACAGACACCAAGTCCTTCCCGCGCCATGCTTCCTTTGATTTTGTAGGGCGCTATTGCGTTTTCCTCCTCGTCCGCACCGCCAGCTTGGCTGGGCCCCGCAGGTGTCTGGTCGTGCCACTCCTCGTCGATGACCTGGAAACGTACCATTTCGTTGGTATCATAGTACAGCCTCACGTCATCCATCTTCCAAACCCAGAGTTGGTCGCTATGGCTACTGCACAGGGGTGTTAGTGCTATTCCTCACGGTTACGAGGGGAAGTGCGTACTACTCGGAGCCAGCAGGCAGTTCCTCGAAGGGGATGAAGATGTCATTGAAGAAGATTGTAAATAGGTTGATGCCCGAAGGCGTTGAGCTTGAGATCTTGCCTAGCATAACCTCTCCCTTAAAAGGACGGAAGACAATCATACGAAACTCCACTGATAGCCGGAACAGGTGTTAGTAATAATTTATTATCTTGCAGAAGGAAAAAGATCATGATGATACCATTTACGTTGACCTCGCCTGTGCCGTGGCCAATCAGGCCCTCTGAGGTCCAGAGAATGTCATAAAGAGAGACACATAGTCCAATTTTTTGAAGCACCTGTAAGACGATGGTGAGCTCCAAGTTTTAAAACAATTCGATGAGGCGAGATTTTACCTTGTTTGCGTATTTGGCATTGATATTGTCCTCAATGGCCTCTATGCTGGGCTTGGAGAAGTCTGCCGCTTTAATCTGAACCAGATCCGCGATTTTGGTCTACACCAGGATACGAGTATGAGTATGAGCCACGGCCGTCATCATAAGGCGACGGGGATTTGATTGGTGGGGTAGCTCTGCGTCCAGCCTGTGCATACGTACCAAGATGAACATGTTGTCCGGCTATAGGCCAGAAGCCCCGGGGGATCACAATGAGCCGTAGGATGCTGTGATGGGTGGAGGCGTCATCTCCCAGTCTCTGGAGCCGTGATGATGTGAGTCAGTGCGAGCAGCTCACGAATGACCAATGTTCTGCTGGTCGCCTGCAAAAAGCGACTTTTGCTCGACGTTTGTCGCTGAATACTCCTCGGCAGAAAAGAACTTTGATGCAGGCGCTAGGCTATTATCGAATTAGTGCGGACTTCACCGCTTTCCGTATACAGATCAGCTCTCACTGATTCACAGTAGGAGCGACCAGACAAAGCGCGGCTTCCCTTTGAAAAGCAGCCTTGTTAAATTAATTCGTCCTCGCTGCCACCAGCCAGGTAATGTTGTGGTTTTCCTTCCTCTCGCAGCTGCGGTGGTCGACCTGTTAGGTGTTCTTGGTGTTGTTTCCTCCTGTTTATTACCTCTTACCTCCGTCAACTTCGACTTTCCCTATCCCCAGCACCCAACTGTTGCGCGTTTCTTGTCGAGCTTCGCCCAACACCACCAAACACAACCTGGAGTCCGGATCTGCCTTCATCCCCCTTGTTCGCCAGCCGCCTCTGCCGACAGATTCAGCTTGCACCTTCACATAACACAGCTTCAACATCCGTGACGGCATCGAGTCCATCTTGGACCATCACCATGTCGTCATATGGCTACGCACCGCCCCCGCCTCCTCCCGCCCCGAGTTCGGGTCCTAGCTACGGGCAGAATCCCAATTCTTCATATAGCCGCGGAGGAGGAAGTAATGGGCGTGGTCGAGGTGGCCACTATTCTAACGCGCGCTCCGAGTACAAGTCCCAGCAGCCGCCTCACTATGAACACTCCAACCAACATTACCCCCAACAACCCCCCGCCTACAACAGTTACCCTCCCACACAACAATGGTCTCCAGAGCATGGCCATCCATCTACACAGCACGCACATGCACACGCCCACCCCCAAGCCCCGATCGCAACTTCAACTTACCATCCCAGCTACCCTGCCCAGCCCTACACCGCTCCTCAGTATCCTCAGCAGCCTCCTTACGGCCAGCCACAGCCTTATGGTCAAGCATACCCCCCAGCCTCGGTCGGCTCTGCACCCCCACCACATTGGGGTGGTCAAGGACATGTCCCTTCTGCGCCATACGGGGATAGCAGACCTCGAGGAGGATATCAAGGTCGTGGAGGGTCAAAACACTCCCCAGGTGTCCGTTATGAACATGAACCTCCCGCTGTTCCAGTGAACGGTTATGCGCAGCCATACCCTCCTCCCTCTCAGTACTATTACTCAGGGCCTCCACCTCCTCCTACACAATCTTCGCACCGAGACGGACGTCACGGCCATAACAATAGCCATGGGCGTCGTGGCGGTGAAGGTAATAGAGGCCGAGGCCGAGGTCGAGGAGGGCACGGCTCTGGGGACCGAGGGCGCAGTCATCATAAGTCTAGCAACGATCATGGGGGTCATCATGGCCAACAAAAGGGCTCGCAGCAAAAGCAAAACCAACAGTCGAAACAAAACCAGGGCCAGCGTGAGCTACCCATTGTGGGCAGGAAGAAAAAGAGAAAGACCAACACTCTTGGACTGACGCCTGGGATGGAGTCCGAGACTGAGGACGACGAAGGAGAAGAGGAAGCCCTCGTCAAGCTTCTCGGACAAGAAAAGTTCCAGTACGTATTCTGTATTTTTGATCACCACGTCGCAGCTTTCTAACCTCGGTGCAGAGTGGACGACATTGCCGAATTTATTGCTGAGCGAAAGCGAAATTACCCCACCAAAGCTCGCAGAGAGGCCAGGAAGGCCGCCGAGGCTGCACAGAAGAACGAAGAAAAGAGGACATCACTAGAGAGACAGGCTGATAAGTTGAGACGCCAGCTTCGTAAGGTGGAGTCATCTATTAAACGAAAGCGAGAACAAGGCGATGAAGGAGACGAGATGCGCGACCCGTCATCTGATGAGTCGTCGGATGACGAGAAGCCAGAGGAGGTCTCCTCCCGGCCCTCGGCTTCCAACTCGGCCCCTACCCCTGCTGCGCAGCCTGGCAAGAGAGCCGATGTCACTCGTCACTGCAAATATTTCTCAACTGGTGGGACCTGTGGTAAGAAGAGCAAGTGCCGCTTCGTCCATGACCCTGCTGTCCGCGACGCCGCGATTAAGGAGCGCGAAGCCAACAACGGGCGCCTGACAATCCAGCAACGCTTGATCCTAAACGACAAGGAACAGGAAGACCTGACCATCCTTGCATCCATCCAGTACCTCCGTGTGAAGGGCGTCATGACAAAGGCCGTCGAGGAGGAAAGTCAAAAGAAGACCGTCGCGCCAGTGCCCGTACCTGGATCTTCCAAAAGCCTCCTGCCGGCCGCGCCTCCCTCCCTGCCCCCTCCGCCTGTTAAGAGAGAGCCGGTCGGGCGGAGTAAGCCTCCACCATCCATCATTCCCAACGCTAATAGCATCAGTGCCCAAGGGCTAAAGCACTATCAGGGTTGGCTGTTGAAGCCATATGGCAGTTCGAGCACCAAGACAACTCAAAGTGAGAATTTACCATGATTGCCCCCTTATTAGGAAAAAGATTGTTATGGGTTGCCTCTTTCGTTTTTTTGTGTTCCCTTTTGCGAGGAAAGGTCTCAGCGGTTGAACTAGCCATCTATATATCTTACCACCAGTCTTACTAGGCCAGCGCTTCGTGGGCTTTTTCTTATCTGAACAAGCAAGTATTGGGAGTTGGACTTATTTTAATTAGAGCTGCTGGTATAGCAGTATGTCGACCTGGTTCGTTCATAGATGCTGAACTGGGTTCATCCAAGTTAAATTGACAGGTATCACATTCATGCATTGCTAGACTGGGGAACTCGTACTTGTCTGCCTGTAGCATACTCTATAGAGCACGCTCGTCATTTGTATTGTATCACTAGGCTAATCTGAGGTGAATAATCTAATCCGTTAGCACCTTCTTTCACCGCACCATATCCATTCTCCTCTATTCATCATCCATGACATGTATGATTAAGCAGCATCGCTTCAACTTGTCTGCAAGGGTTCCAAAGGGAAAAACCAGGAAGAGCCGAGGAATGACGCAGGCGGAAACGCAAGTAAGTGTACAACTCCAACGCTGATGGGTACCAAAAACAACCGAAAACCAGAAACAAGAATGTGTTGTGTGTGAAGGGGAAACGTGGGGGAAACGTGGAAATAATTATCCAGACGGAGGGAGAAAAAACATTACGACAGGCCAAACTCCCCTAGTGATGCTGCCGATAAACAGAGAAGAAGTCAAATAGAGCAAACATTCTCAACGGCCGACCTAACGCCCTTGGAGATACCGCCGTCTCCGGTCCTCCTTTTCAGCCTTGAGCTGCTTTTCCCTGCGCTGCTCAAGTTCGTCTTCGCGACGGGCGATCGACTCTGCTTTTCTCTCTTCGAGTTCCAGGTCGTCCATTCCCGCCTCCATGTCCGACTCGGAACCGGAGTCGTATCTATACCGTGGCTCGCCCTCCTCCTCATCGTCGTAATCAATGAAATCGTCCAGCTCTTCGTCATAATCGTCCTCATAACGCGAAAATCTCGAAGCGCCGGCCCGAGGGGCTGGTCTGTTTAGAAGTGCTCCACCCCGGGGAGCCTTGTCGTGCTTTGAAGTAGTGCTGCCAGGCTTTGGTCGCGCCGTCCCGGTGTAACCTGTCGTCGCCGTCGCGGCCTTCTTCTGCTTCTTCTCCACCTCCTCCGCGGGTTGTCTCCTGTCCCGGTCCGATGGCCTGGCCGCTGGCTTGCCTCGGGAGGGGTCTCTGGAACTACTTACTAACGCGGTGGGTCGCGCCGAGGCTTTAGAGGTGCCGGTGTAGGACGACGACGATACCGGTTTCTTTCCAGCCAGGCGAGGGTCAACCTTGGCTCGTGGGTCAGGCTTGGTGAGCACCTCTTTCTCCTTCTTCATGACGCCCTTCTCCACCTTCTTGTGCTGGATCTTGCCAACCTGGCCCATCGTCTCCTGGGCTGCCTTTGCTCTGGCCATAATCTCAGCGAACGAGCCCTTCTTGGGAGGGGCTCTCGACGCGGCGGCACTGGCTGGCGACGGGCCATTGCTCGACGACCGGACCGGGGCACTGGGCTTGGTAATTCTGTGTGTGCCGTTCGTCGGCTTCAGAGCCGAGGACACGGTCGACCTGACTCCGTTTCCATTCGTCGACTGTGTAGAGTTCGGCCGGTCAAGCGGCCGCGATGGCTGGATAGGTCGCGAGACTGTGGGGGAGTTTATGCGTGGAGCCTTGGAAGCGATTTGGAGTTGCTCCTCAGCCTTTCGCTTGGGTGCGGGTTCACCACCTCCGATGGAGGCTAGAAGATCACCGATCTTGAAAAAGCGGCCAAAGTTAGTGGGAAAGAAGTCGAAGAGGGGGGAGCAAGGGTGCCTGGTTACTCACAGCCATCGTGAATCAGACGGTGAAGACGACCGTGGAGGGATGTGTTGGGTTTGAGCCACTCAGCAGCAGTGAAAAATACGCCCCGCGACCAGGTGTTTCGTTAGTGAGTCATCGGTGTATGCGTTTGACACGAGGATCTGGCTCGCTGAGAGTCTCTGATGGGTCCTCGATGACGGAGGAAGGATGGGTCTCGGTATGGCTCACACGCCGGGAGCCTGATAGGCGAGGGTTTTCGGGTTATGCGACCGTTCGGAAAGTTTTGTTTTAGTCCCGCCGCTCGAAATGGACGACTTCCGAAGCCTTGTGATGGGAGATGTGACGATTGTTCGAAAAAGAATGCAGGGTTGCACGGGATAGAAATGAGCAGAAAATGCTGGCGAAGCAGGTGAGGGAAAAGAGGGGGAAGAGAGGAGGTTGATACGGGAGGAGAGAACAAAAGCAACGGGATTGTCGTTGGCAACAAGCGTCACTACAGGCAGCAAGTGCCGTTATTAAGTCATTCACTGGACAAGCCACAGCTTTGCTCGGACGAAACAGGGCACGTGAGTGGCTGAAGCATGTTCTTATCAGGCATTATCGCCAAGGGATGTGGCTTGCATTGCCAACCCCCCGATTGGCGCTTGCCCTGGCTGTAAGGTGGGGCCTGCCTGCAAAAGTTTGGAGGCACCAAGGGCGAAAAAAAGGTACATGAGCAAAGTACCAGTCCCGCCCTAATTGATTTTAGTGTGCCCACACAAAATTCACAAAGAACATTTCTAACCGAACATCGCGGCTTGTTTCGTTTCCTTTTCATCAACAACCAACCTCACCAGAACTCGAAGGTTTCAGTCTCCGCCCAATTTGCGGTTAAAGTGATTGATTTCTCGTGTTTCTATATCTACAACGTGAGTCCCCTCCCCAAATCCCAGATTCTCTTCCTCCCCATCCAATTCCAGGTTCTGGACTGTACCGAAATTCAAACTTACAAACTTTCTTCCATCCAGGATAAAACAAATTCAAAATGAAGCATCTCGCTGCTTACCTCCTCCTCAGCCTCGGTGGCAACACCTCCCCCTCCGCCAAGGACATCACCGCCGTCCTTGAGTCCGTCGGTGCTGAGGTCGACTCTGACCGTCTCGACACCCTGATCTCCGAGCTTGAGGGCAAGGACATCAACGAGGTACGTCGATCCAATTGGCTCTAAGGCGCAAACCCCCTCTACTTCCAACCCATACTAATATTTCTCCAGCTCATCGCTGCCGGTTCCGAGAAGCTTGCTTCCGTTCCCTCCGGTGGTGCCGGTGGTGCCGCCGCCGCTGGTGGTGCTGCCGCCGCCGGTGGTGACGCCCCTGCCGCTGAGGAAGAGAAGGAGGAGGAGAAGGAGGAGTCTGATGAGGACATGGGCTTCGGTCTCTTCGACTAAGCGCTCTTATCTCGAGCAAATGTCAAGACTCATTTCGAAGGTTATATGGGCTAGGTTATGCGGCTCTAGCTACGGCTGCGGCCGCTCATGGCTGGGAGTCAAAAGGTGTCTTTTCGGGTTAGATGGGAATACCACGTAGCCCTCGGCTTGTGAAAATAAAACTACGGCTTGCCTACTTCGAACCAATTCTGCCTTCGATCGATAGTGACATGTGATTGTTGAAGCATCGCAGCATGGAATCTGAACACTCACTAAGACCAACGGGAACGGCAGAAGAAAGTTGCCACAGAAACAGGTGATCGATCTATGACACTGATGATTTTTATCATGGTTGACCCTACAGAAATTGACCCCTCCCCCACCACAAAAAAAAAAGAATCGCGACAGAGTTGGCTCGCAGGGTAGGCCCCCACCAGGCAAAACTAAACCCCCAGCTTAGACCGGTGAAGGTCGCTGCAGAGCTTCATTACCTGACCACGATAGTTGGCGATTGCTATTCGGCGACAGTGATAGGCCCAAGCTGACGCTCGTCGGACGGAAGTAGGTCGAAAGCCAATCCCTTGATTGCGAAGGGAGCTCGACAGGGCTTGGTGGTGAAAACACAACTGGTATCTCAGCCGAACCGTCACATGCCTCTGCCTCTCTTGTCGAATTTCCTCTGGCTCGTTGGTTCGTATCAGTATGACTCAGACGGACAGTGGCTCATACATGCTGGGGAGACTCACATTCTCGTATCTTCGTGTATCGGGTGACTGGCCACCGGGCGGCTCATATTCCTCGCCACCACGGCACTTGCAGGGGGTTGAGACGGGATAGAAGGAAGTTGGCGAGTATCGTGGGATTGCCTTGGGACACTAGGCTTTTTCTGCCTCCTCAATGAGTTGCTCCATCCTCTTCTTATCCCAGTCTCCGACGGGGAACCTCGGGGTGCCGCAGCCCGTGATGGCCTGTGAGGTCGATTCCCAGGATCTGTGTACTTGGATTGGTAGTGCACAGGATAGGAACTCCGCCGGATATGTCTGGACGATACCGCCCCTTCCACTGAGTGCCGATGACAGAAGAAGCCCAGCAATCCCGCGATGAGAATGGCTGCGGCGCCTCCCAGGGCAATTCCCACGACTTGCCCAGCCCCAAGGACGAAGTCGCCATCACCACAGGAGCGGCTGTAAAGAGTTGTTGGTGATTCATCGTCCCTTGGCTCTTCCTGGACTTGCACCGTGAGGTTCCAGACATTATCATCCAACAATCGTAGATTCTTTCCTTCGGTCTGGCATGCTAGCATGAGTACTGTGGCCAATGACACGTTCCCTTGAAACGACTCACCGGGCTGATGACTCCGGCCATCTTGTGCTTAGAACAGTCGTCCTTGCTACCAGAGTAGAACAACATCGGCTCTGACGCATTCAACTGCAGCCGAAAAATCAAGGGCTATATTTCCACTCGTAAGCATGAATTTCCAACAATGAGGTGTTATTTTGGCCGTCCTACAACTTCTCCGGGTACCTCAGCCACCTTCTCTCCGCTTGAGAAGCCCTGCCCGTCCGGGTGAAAGTCTTCGTAGGGAGAGCATGGGTGGTCAAAGTCTCCTCTCGAGATCTGGTGCGTGCCTGACCAAAACTGCCACTCGATGTAATCACCAAGCTCTGCAACAACCTCGCGTGGTTCAATCATGTATCTAGACTTATCGGTCTCTTGTAAGCTTCTATTTTTGGGAGCATCGAGGAGGGTAACACTATACTTACCTTCCCTACTTTGATTGTATGTGTAGCTCTGGTCTGGGAAACCGTCCGTGTAACTGAAACAGGGTCGTCTGTTGTTGCTGTGGTGAGATGTGAGAGTGTCAGGGCCAGACATCTTGCCACAAGCAATGCGAGGAAAATGCTGTGCCTCTTCATCGTCATCAGAGCTTTTCCGGATACGCAAGGAAGATGAAGCTGGGACAGAATGTCACATACGTTGTGGACAGCCGAGGAGAGGGACAACAAGCCTCAGAGTGTCTGCTATAAAAAGAAGATATACCATGACCGTGATCGCCCCGTGACGCTGCCAAGGAGGCGACCAACAGCAACTCTGCCTCAATCCACACCATACTTACCATTCTAGTCTAGAGAGAATATTAATGACCGGCGATTTGAAGAAATTCGCAAAGTCCACTCGATCCATGAGACAATAAGAAAGAAAACCATTGTGTTGAAGGGGAGAAGAATCAAGTATTGATCACTCCGGGGTCTAGGGTATGGCCCACAACCCACAATATCCGCACTCAAGATACCAGCCTTGTCACGAATGCAGATGGAGCCGGACAGAATTGGAAGCGGACCGAGTCATGAACCAGTTCGGACATAAAACCATGTGGCCGACTGAAGCAGGGGATATGGTGCTAGTGGGCTGCCAACACCATTTGTTGGTAGCCTTGCATGGATTTAGGCGCCGAGCGCGTGCGGCCAAGAGCTCTTCGGGGAAGATCTAGGCACCGAAGCGAGCAGATTCGTCCATTTACGGAAAGTTGTGTCTGTAAAATAACTTCCAGGGCTGGACCTTGCAGCTGATGGCGTGTTAGGGCTGGTTGGTTGTGCCAAAGGCGTCATCTGGTGTTCGTCTATAGCCACGAGGCATGAGCTCCTCCTTCCTGATGTGGCTATGCACACACACTAGGGTATCGTTGGGGTTTGGAATTCTGATCTGATTGGATGCGTAATAGGCGTGTTAAAGCATGGATCGAATGTATAACGAAGATGCTTATGCATGAACTGTGGAGGAGGGAAGGGGACACTGATCACAGAGCGAATGGTCATGAACCTCATCAAATCTCAGAAACAAATCAAGATCTTTTGAACCAACTCAAGAGAAAGGGTATCATTAATCTACACCACCGGCCAACAGGCCCTCGCCCTTGCTCCAGGGCAAATTCCGCTTCTCGTAACTTACAACGCAACCGGGGGAGGGGCAAGGGGGAAGAGAGGTGGGGTCATCGCTGTCCAGCTCCCTTTTGCCCTAGCTTCAAGACATCACCAACAAGCTCGCAGCTGTGTTTCAGGACAGGAAGCTTTGTCTATCATTCAAGAACAGGAAGAGAAGGAATGCGACGAGCTATGCCTCTCATTGAGTCTTCTTTGTGGAAGAGACTAGATCACTGTGGGAAACCAATTTCCAGAAACACCACAGGTAGCAGAGTCCGAAGCCGACAACCCCCACGCCGACATTGGCTACTGTCCATAGGTCAGGCTTGTTCAATGGTGGAGCGAGGTATGCCTGGACAAAATGCCATGCAATCATAGCAACATAGAAAACACTGTGGGTCACAAGCGTGATGATCTTGGACCAAGTCATCGCACCTTCGGTGTAAACACTCCAGGTAGTGGGGGGTAGTCCCAACAGGTAGGCCCAGAGCAGCGTCAGCACTCCATAGGGAACAGCGAGATCAACACGCTGGAGCAAGGGGAACATGGTCCAGGCACCCAGGAGGTTAGCGAACCCGACCCAAGCCCGAGTCTCCCACTCTAATCCCTGTCTTCCTGCGAGGAGAAGAGTCATAGGCATTAAGGGAAGGAGGACGCTCTTCTCATGCACTTGCCAGCTGAAGAGGAAAAATCCCCACGCAGTTGTTGCAAACGCAAGGGGGAGGGTCTCCCTTCTTGGCCGAACGAAAGTGACCAGGTTGGGAGGGATGATGGATAGAAGGGTAGCGGCGGCAGCACCTTTTTGGAGTAGTTCGACTGGAAAGCTCTTAAGCTTCACGATGACGTTCAAGGCGCACCAAAAGTTGGCCACCTTGTCCTCGAAAAGGCCACGAGCAAAGGGGAATACGCGGTGGATGATTTGGACGATCTGCTGGACGATGGGATAGTAGAAGGCTTTGGTATCCAGGTACTGTGCAAGGGCTGTAAAGATAGGGAGCTCTGAAGGGGGGCCATCTGCCTCGTTTCCAGGGTTCACTTTGCGGTAGACATCGTAGTAGGTCCCGAGGACGATGGGCAAAACAAGGGCGGCAAAACTGATAATGGTGACCAGGGTAATACCGAACAGTCGTGAAATATTTAGCGGGAAAAGGCACCTCCCCAGAAGATATGCGAAGACCGGGAAGGCATAGTACAGCGCCATTTGCTTGAATCCGAGTGCTCCAACAAAGAACACCGCAGCCCACTTGTAGCGCTCGGCCAACATACTCGACATGCTGGCTAGGACTAGTCCCAGCATGACGGTGTTGTATTGGAAGTGGACATGATCGATCAGGATGGTCGAGGGCTGCATCAAGATGGCGACCAGAGCGACGGAGGCTGTCCATTGGGAGACGGAGCTGAGTCGGCTATATCGTCGGACAAAGACAATGGCGGCTGGGGCGTAGGTCAAGTATTCAGAGATGAAGACGGTGGCCCTCATGAAAACCTTCAAGTTAGGGTCCTCGATTCCGCGAGAAGTGTAGAGTGCGAACCAGTCGGGGTTGATCAGGGCTCCCACTTTGCCCAGAACCCAGCTGTGGTAGGCCGTGAGAGGCGGGTAGTCGAGGCCCCACCATTGGAGGTCGTGGAAATACCACTGCGATACGGGAAGATGCGTCGTGATTTCCATCCAGTGCCGCTGCGCCTCGTAGTCTCCGAACATTGGTGGTCGTTGGAGGCCTGACTGGTGAATTAGCCGGAGCTCGCGTCCAGGCGGATGGCTGGCGATGGCTTACCTGAATAGCCCCAGAGTCCAGCAGCCCATCGGAAGAGGCCGACGACCATCAAGACCAAGGGCAGGACCTCCCATTGCGACGATGATCTCCTAGCCGGCCAGAGGAACGCCGCGAGAGGAAACGAGGGAGCCCGGACCAGGGTGGCATTGGCGACGCGGGTTCGTAGAGGCTTCTCGGTTGCACTGCCGGGTTTCTTGCCCTTGCGCCTGGGCTTGTGGGGTAACGGGCTCGATCCAGCCATGGTTTTTGTCTACATCAATGCCTGGTGGAAGCAATCGATGGTGTTTGTGTAGGTGTTGCTCGTCGTGGTGCGAGGTGGATGGACTCGTGTCCCAATGAGCTACCCTGGGCCTCCGCATGTCATTTCGCAGGAGAGCTACAGGGGTCGATGGCCAATGAGAACCTGTGGGATCAGAAGCTGGTCCCTCTAGGTTAGGCTGATCGACATGGTGTCTGGGTTGGGTGCTTAGTCACGCAGCTCACACAGTGTCATTATGCCTTTGCGCACGGGCTCCGACCTGCCTGTGAACACTCGTTAGGCGCAAGCATTTGCTGGTGCGAGAGCCGAGATACAGTGCATGCGGTGACCCTCACACTGGCCTTTGTCCCGCACCTCGAAATGTGCTTGAAGTGAATGAGACGAGACCAACCGGGTGGCGTTATTCTGTCAGCTCTGTCTCAATGTTAAGCTTAATAGAAGAGGGCCTTGTACAGTCCTTACCTGCGCGGAGTACGGCTTGAATCCGGTTCGATTAGAATCATCCACGATGCCTTATCCATTTGTCCTTCCCACCACCTCGTCTTTTTCCTTCTCATCCCACTTTGAGTGCGAAACTCACCCCTCCTTGCCACTCAATGCGAGCACATACCGTGGGGTCGCCCGTGAGGCCCTCAAGAAACACAAGCGTCTCCCTCCTTCTGAGCAGATCGGCCATCTTTCGACAGTCTCAGCCAGCCTGAACAGCTACATCCCCTACCTGCTTGCCATTGACGCTGGTCTTCGTGATGGGAGACTCCCCACAGGCGACGTCATCCACGTGAAGCCCAAAGGCACACCCACCATCAAATGGCGTACGACACTTTCAGGCGACGCCGTGCCTGGGAAAGAGAGGTCCCGGGCGCGGATTAACTCTATTGAGCACGAGATATATTTCACTCTCTCGTCTCTGGGTTTTACACACGTCTTGGCATCGAGAACGGCCCTGCAGCCCCTCTATGCCACTAATAGCGACTTCCTTGGCGCGCAAGAGCGCACCGTAGCGGTGTCTACGGCGGCGAAATCCCTGATGGAAGCTGCTTCTATATACACCTATCTTGCTGCTAGGACCGAGGGGACTTCTGTGAACCCTCCGTGTGTCGATATCGCCCCAACTACAATTCGTGCCCTGGCTGCTCTGGCCCATGCCGAAGCCACTCTGCTTGCAGTTCTCAAGGACGATCCCTATCCGGCTGCTGTCGCGCAAGATAGGAACAAGAATGACAAGGAATGGATGTTCAAGCCTCCTGAGATTCCCAAGGTTCGGGCTCACCTGTATGCTCGTCTTTGTTTGGCTGCTTCAGAGCATGCTGCCAAAGCTGCCTCCTTGGCCCAACCGACTGGGTCTGGCCCGACTGGGAAGGTTGAGTCTGGCCTTGCAAAGTACATTGAGAACTTTCGCCGCACCAGCCGAGCAAAGGCCTGCAGATTTCTTGGTATCGACGCTGAGCTTGGTGGCCAGACCGCTGATGGCATTGGGTGGCTTCGAGCCGGTCTCCAGGAACTTGGCGTGGAGGTCAAGGACTCCAAGAAGGGAATTAGTCTTAGCCGGTTCAAGAAAGAGTTCTCTGAGAGGAGGGAAGATCGCCGTGTTGAAAAAGAAACTGGCTGGGGCGCAGACGCTGGGCGATTGGAAGAGATCAGAGTTCTCGAGATGCTGGATGAAAAATGGACCAAGATCAACGATACGGTAAGCCAAACGAGAAAAGGAATCGCATCCCATCACTAATCTGATAATATAGATGAACACGAAAGTGATACCGTCCATCAATTCATTGCTGGCGAAGATCCCGTCTGGTCGCGACATCCACACAATCGCCCAATTCCATCCCCCCACGTTGGACCGTGACGCCCTGGAGGCCATGCGAGCCCTGCCGGAGGGAAACGATGAATTTGGACCAGATCTGAGCTCAGATGACGACGTCCGGAGCTCGTCGATTACCCCGATCGGCGCTTTCCCCGGTGCTGCTGAAAGTTATGAACGGAGTTCTACTGCTACGAGTTCGCATGCTTATTTTTAGCCAGGAGGGGATGAGTACACATTGGAATGGGCATATCCTGGCAGATGGCCTGAACCCTCGAGGGCCGATCCCGCAGATTCATGTTGCAGGTGTCGGTGGTGGCTTTTGATCCATGGGGATCAAGAGCTTTGGAGCGTCCCAGCTGCTGCTGCCTACCTAGGCTGGGTGCGGTTTGAGCATCGCGAACAACCCAATATGTTGAAAGCACTTGCTAAGCCTCATCACTGAGACTATGAATCTGCCAGGTTGGCGGCAAAGGACGCAAGATTCTTTGTTCTGCGGTGCTACAAGAATCCAAAGAGCTTAGCTCCATTAGTTCTCATCATCGGCGCAACTGCGTGCGACATGCGAGGCCATTGACCTGGGATACCAGCAATGAAATACAGATGGCAGAATGATCATGCCATGCGGCGAGGGAACTCACCGTGTTTGACGACCGAGCGTCTGGTTATTTGCCACCCACTTCCTACGTTTTGTTGTACTGCCAGACGACATGACATAACGTGGCGACATGTTTGATCTTGCATGGAACTTTGATTGTTGCATTGATCGATGTTACAGGAAGGTGAGTCATGTCCATTGGAAATCTTGGCACCTGTTGCAATTTGAGGTCAGGATGACCTGCAAAAGGGAGAGACTGGTTGCGCATGTGTATGTGCATGATTCACCCTCATATTTCTCTTGCTATCCAACCGGAAATTAGAATATGAAAATTCTGCTCCGTTCATCTCATCATTCCAAGTATTGCAGCTTCCTTGCTTATAATCCCTAGCCTCAATCGATCTCAATGCGAACAAGACCCTGCCTTTCACATTGTATGTAGTTCTGTCGGCTTAGTATTTCGAGACCTGATCCATCGTACTTCTTTCGTACGCACATAATCGATATGTAGAGGGCCCTCCCTCGCTGGTAGCAGAAGTTGACAACGTCATTTTCCGTCCCTCTTGTTTGCTCTACATTTGTTCTGGGCTATTGATCTGAATAAATGAGACGTGCTTATGGCAATGGGAACCGATGGCGCACCCGACGGCCATTCCACCACCAAGCAAGCCGCCTTCCATCAGTACCACTGCCTTATATGCTCAATCACACACAACAGGTGTACCGGATGATGGGCCCCGGACCAGTCCCAAAGACGTGATTCGGTACATCTTCACAGCGCCTCCAATTGAGAAGGGTACGACATCATGATACGTCTTTCCAGATGGAATAATACCCATACAAGTACGTGGCGGAGGAGAGATACTTTCACTCAATATGATAACAGGTACCTCTCCAGTTCAATCTACACCACATTGTCACCCAATCCTCCGGCCCAATAGAACCACAGAGCTATTCCAACAAAGGCATCGGCATCGGCATCGGTCTCGGCCCATCCCACAGCCCAGTATCCGGGTCAGGCTGGACCTCACTAGGCTCCCACGGCGTGGGCTCAGGCGCGAAGAGGTTACCGTCCGTCGGCCACGGCTTGTCACAGGGTGGTGTGTACCAAGAGGGCTCAGGCTTGCACACGTCGTAGCACCTGTGTTCCATTTCACGCGTCAGAGCGACTGGCAAAGTAGAGATGAGGCGGTTAATCGACTTACCCTCCGTACATCTGATGGCAGGGGTCGATGAAGTCCTTGCACAGCCAGATTCCCTGGCCTGGCTCGCTGTCGGTGCACATGGGGGGCGGGGTGAATGTTGAGCAGGGAGGTGTGGAAATGTTCCAAGGTTGGCAGTCTGGGATACAGCTGGAAAAATTGGTGAGTGGTGAGACATCTCGAGGGGGGACTGGAGGAGAAAGACTTACGTTCCCCATGGTTCACCACACTCGTTGATGCCGTCGACGCAGACGGTCCGGGTACTGCAGTCGTCTGATGTAGGTGTGGGAGGCAGGCCCGTGGGATCAGTAGTGGCCGTATCAAAGGCTGGCTTTGTGGGAGGGGTGGGAGCCGGAGGTAAGGTGGTTGAGGTCACTTGGGGCAGTGGAGTTGAGATGGCCAGCCCTACTGGCGAAGCCTCTATGCGGACAGCATATAGGAGAGCGAGGAAGAGGAGCTGTTTGGCCATGATGGGTGTCAATGGTTGTGCGAGCTCTGAAATTGTAGGAAAGGGACCGACTTGAGGGTCAATGCTACGATGGGAAAGGTGAACTTGGACTGTTCACTATTAATGAATCCTGGTTCTTGATAGCGGCGGGTAGGAGAAGGCTTGAAGTAGGCGGGAGGGGCCCTGACTTATATAGAAATGAATGTTAATGCTTGTCAGTGGCAAGATGCGCCTGGTATGACAGTCGTCAGGCGGGGCGTTGACCTGTCATGAAGGGAAGGTTTCACAACCCCGCAACGGGCTATGCAGTATGGGCTATGTGAATTGATCGTGGCCAAAGGTTCCTCTTGTTTAAGGTAAGAGGCTTGTCGGAGCTGAAAGCGAGACACTGGCTAAGGAATGAAGGGTCGTTGCTGAGCGAGACATTTCGGTTTATATTTCCGACACGAGGTCGATACGAGACTTGAAAACGGGTCTTGTATGAGATGACTGGATGGATGGATGGTATTTGGATGCGTATGAACCAGGTCGATGAACGAGTGGTGTTTGACACTAGAGAAGGACAAATACTTGGCCGTTTTGCATTCCTGTGAGTCTGGGCATCAACCGCCAGGTGGAATGGAGGATATCGTGGGTGTCCTCCCTGCTTACGGAAGCTACAAACAGAGCGGAAGAGGACTCATATAGCTGCTCTGCTGAGAATACTGGGAGGCATGATGCTGAGAGGATGCTGCTGTGAGTAATACAGTCTCTTGTAGCTCTTTTATGTATGATCACCTGATTGGACTTGATATTTTCACGGCTGTTTCCTCAAACTCAAGATCACCGTTAGTAACTTTAGAATCGGGTTATTAGGATGTTAGTTTTATAATAGACTCTCCATAGATATACTAAATATTTGTAAAGGTGGTTATTAAACTCATTTATCCTATGCTACAGCGGCCCTTCCCTCCAAGAAGAAGAAGATCCATGTCTGAGACAAGTTTTCACTTTCTGTTTCGATGCACCAACTGGGACACCCAACGTGAAAACATGCGACAAGTAGTACAGGCAAAGATGGGCAACCTCTCGGTATTTGTAGGAAGAAATGTAGCACGGCCCAAAATATGCATACAACCTATAGGCGTTGCGGGCGTCCGGTTTCACGATGGACACCACTTAGGAATAATGACATACCAACCAACGGCACACAATATAATTAAACACTATATACTCCTAATAAGCACTTACAAACTCAAGCTGGAAGACCAGGCTTTAGCTACTGCCGATAGGATGTTGAACACTTAGGGAAATTGGCCTTCAAGTCGGCCTAGCACATAAGGTCATGCGAAGTCCTAAACGAGTGAAGTATACTGCGTAGCAAAGCGAATTTAGGCCTCTGAGGGGAACCCTCCCAGGAGTGATGTACTTCGTATCATATCATGAGCACATCTTGGACCTCAACTGCCAATTATCGCCCATCGTAGGTATGAGTTGACAGGATAATACAGCTGTATTGAAGCAAAAACAAGCAAACAATCTGAAGCAACTGTGATGATGATTGAAGGAGAAAGTTCTCTGTTGTGTAGTCTGAAGGATTGAAGGTTAGTCTTAGCAGGCTTACTCATATAGCTGTAATTTTTGCTCCCTGCTCTTGATTGCGACGAGACAATGGGAAGCTATTCGGCCCTTGCATTGGGGGTGCACAAGCACAATCCCAACACTCCAGAAGTCTGGAGCTTAATGCCACAAGCCCATTGATATTAGTTCGTATTCAGTACTAATATGCGGCCTAACGCCATAAATCCATTGATAATAGTTTGCCAAGGAGTACTAAGTAAAATCCGACAACGCCACGTCTTCGGCGAACGAGCGCGCTGCGTCAACACCCAAGCTGTAAGGCATCTCTATTGTCTTCTCCTTGTGCCCCGTCTGTAGTGTCACCTGGTTTCGCACCAATGACATGAGCTGGGAAAAATATTCTTCCATCTCCTTAGTCACACCGGGACGCTGCGAGAGCAGGGTGTCAAAGTCGCTGGTGCTATATACTGCGTCGTGCTTGAGCCTGAAGTGGTCAGTCTTTGGTAGTATCGGTATGGTGTCAAGGCTGGCTGCACGAGGTCATTATGTGGCTTTTCAATAAAGCCAACAGGCGGGTCTAAGGACTCTCAATAACATATGGCGCAACATAGGTGAAGCCCCTTAAGGCGAGGACAATGCTGTAGTTATCCCACTTTTCGAGCAAAAAGCTAAGCATGCCGTGGCTGATGTATTGTTGACAGTCGCTGTTGTCAGCGGAGTATGATCTGAGGTCGATATCTTTTTCATACTTGCATTAAAACTGAAGAAGAAGTATATAGGTGAACTCGATGTTGCCGGCTCTCGCTGCATGAATAAGGGGTGTTCTACCATCCACAATGCACTATTGAAGCATCTCAGTGTATAGTTAACTTGCAACTTCATAGCGAGGAGGATGTAGGTATGTGCAAAGTAGATATAGAAAAGGCAAAAGGCACCAGTATACAAGCAGCGAGGCAGAAAGGAGACAAGAAACAAGATGAAGTGCACATACAAGGCGGCTGTATCCACGCTAGACCATAGAATTGTTTTGGCAGAGACGACTTTGTCCTGGACGTCGTTGAGCCACCCGTAATACCTCTTCCAGGGAATGGAGCGGCGGTCATTACCAAGGGGAGCATCTAGGATGGCTGTTAAGATGGTATCAAATGCTCAGCTGGGATGATAACAATGCGCGTCTGGGGCCCTAGCTCGCCTTGGTCGTCGGATGCTGATGAGGGTAGTCAAATGCTGAGGGGGACAAAGGAGACCGTGCTTCCTCGACCGTCTCCCATCTCTTTATCCCTCCCTTACCCCATCACACCTCCGTCATGATCTACTACCTTTAATATATCGCTAGCGACCCGCCCCCGAATCAGCAGAAGTCTCCAAGGACCGAGATAAACAAGGCTCGAGATAAACAAGACTCGAGATACAACATGCGATTTGGCAGCAGCTTGCATCTGCGGCGGGTCCCAGCCTGGACTGAGTCTTACGTCGACTACAACCGCCTCAAGGCCCTCGTCGACGCTGAGGGGCTTCTTCCAGGTTAGTCCAGGAAGCCAGCCTTTCACGATATCCTTCGCGGCTAATCGTCTCGCTTACACTAGAACTCGGAGAAGCTATCCGTTTTGAACTACGCATTGTGGACAGATTCCTAGTGTTGTATAATAAACAGATCGAAACACAGTTCCTGGCCCTTCAGCAGCGGTGGGGGATTCGGATTGGCCATCGCGTGCTCCATGACTGCCAGGGCGTCTCATGCACCGAGCTGCAGGACATAAAGGTCTCGCTCTTGGAGATTGCGGATCACATCGCCAAATCAGAGTCTTACTTCAGGGTCAACCAGGACGCAGTGTCGCGTATTCTCGACAAGGCTGCAATCAAGTACACTAACGCCGAGGTGACGGATATCGACGCCAACTTCAAACACCCACGGAAAGGCCGCTCAGCTCTTCTCGAAGTCAATGTGACCTTACAGCACGTCCAAGAAGCTTTGCAGAAGACTGCAGAAGCAAATGGCGAGTCCCCTTCCCGATCGCTGCTACTGGAGCAGCAGTCTGGGCTTGATCGATTTCCGCATCGCTTCCTCCCCGACATCCTCCGCTGTTTACATAACGACGATGCAGAAAAACTTGAGCAGGCCTTAAGTCAACATTTCCCAGACTCCTCGGAAGTGCGGCAGCCAGCTCTCGTATGTTTAGTTCAAGTTGCTATCGTCTACGGATCCTCCAGCTGCCAGATGAAGCTTCTGAAAAGCCTGCGGTCCAACTCAGTCAAACAACATTCCCTCGCGCCACCGGACTACCTCCAACGGATTATCCAGCGTCTTAGTCGGGCTGATCCGCCGCTTGACAGTTCCTCCGCCATGACTAGCTTTGGCCAGATACTGAAGCTGCTGCACCCAACTCAACTTGATCTGTTGCACAACCGAGACGGAATGGGGCGTTTCCCTCTTCACTACGCTGCACTCTCTGGCTTCGACGGAGTATGCCGCGAGATAATATCCACTATGCAGGGCTCGGCCAGCGTTATTCAGATGAGCAAGCTTTGCCTGAGTCCTGACAAGTTCAACTTGACACCGTTAGACTATGCCGTTCAAAGAGGCTATGCGGCTGTGGTGGCGCTCCTCCTGGAAGTCTGCGAGACTCCCGATTGCCTCGGGAACCCGCAGTCGACTGGCATGACGGACCTTCTCAACACAGCCATAGCTTCCAGATCTCTAGACGTCGCCCGTTTGCTGATCCAGAAAGGATGGGGTGTGCGATTTGTGGGCAAGTTCGGCAACACCGTATTGCATACCGTAGCGGAGCAGGGACTTGCAGATTTGGTTAGGGACATTGTTGCTCTAGGAGTCGACGTCGATGCCCGGGAAAGAGTCAGGGGATGGACAGCTATCACCATTGCTAGTGTGCAAGGACACCATGCCGTCGTCGAGGCGCTGATCCAGTCTGGCGCCAGAGCTGAGATCCCTGATTATCGGCGGTGGTTGGCTAAGGACCATGCGGCGTACCGCGGACATATGAAAGTGGTTGAAGCCATCAAGTCTAATGGGTCGTCCAAGCTATATTCAAAGTCTCATCAACGCCTAGGTGCAGTCAATATCCTCCCAGAGCGGTCCGCGTCAGAGTCGGTCATCTTCATCCATCTCGGCACGCTCGACCTGTGGAAAGGGACTACCCCCTCGGTTGATATTGCACCGTATAAGAGGCGCACCTCGCCGCTTCAGGTTCACGACACGAGCCTAGAGCTCTCCATCTCTCTAGCAGGGAGCGACCAGAAGAAGACTGTCCTCCTCCCATACCTATTGGAAAACTCAGACCGGCCTTGGTGCTTCACAACTAACGAGCCGCACAATGCGGCAGTCGTGTTGAAAGTCAGCAACTTGGCCGACAAGACTTCCATCGGTACAGGAGTCGCGCTGGTTGGCAGCTTGACAGCGTCCTTGGGCAGCAAGAGGGACACGCTGATTCGTGATTACAATGTCCCGCTCGTCAGTGATAAGTTTGGCCATGTCGGCAGCGTCGTCATTACAGTTGTCATAGCTCGTCCTTATAACGGTGCTTACTCGCCTCCCCGAACATCTCAAATATTGGCCCTCGAAAAGTCATCACGTCTCGGCGGTCATCGCGGTATATTCAAACTGTCACGAGTCATGACGAACAGAAACTTTTCTGACATCAGCAGGCAACGGTCAAAATGCTAGGTCTGGTTCCTTGCAAATCGGAGAGAACACGATCAAATCATTCCTCACGGCCAAGGAGCTGGGAGCCGACGTCGTGGAGCTGGGTAGAAGCTTCCGCACTTAGCGCTCTAAGAATTGTGATGATTAACTGATAATAGATGTCCAACTCACCAAGGACAATGTCCCGGTCATCTACCACGACTTTCTTGTAGCAGAGAAGGGGTCTGATGCACCGGTGCATACTCTGACCTATAAGCAGGTGATAGTTTCTTATCGAAACCCTCTGGGGTCTGTTACTGATGTTCATTTAGTTTATGGCTATCAGTGATGCTCAAACATCCTCGACCTGGCATGAGGAACCCAGGAAAAGGTTGCCATGGGACGAGCGCAAGCGTCCCCTAGCCCTGCGAAACACTCGTCGCATGTCGCTTTGTGCCCCCTTGGACAGCGCCACGGATGCCCTTACTGACCATATGAAGAACACACTGAATTACCCGGGATACAAACCCAATCTAAGGCATCATAGTATCCATGAACCATTCATCACGCTCGAGGAGCTATTCTGCGGACTGCCAGAGGACATTCCGTTGGACATTAAGCTCAGTATGTTTGCACACAGTTAGCAGATGAAAAAGTTACTGAAATGTATCCAGAATATCCCATGCTCTACGAGGCTGCCGACTTCCAAATGGACAACTACGCGACTGAGATCAACGTCTTCCTTGATACTATTCTCTCCGTAACATACGCCCGTGCTGGTAATCGCCGAATCATATTTACCTCATTCAGCCCTGAAATCTGCATGGTCCTTGCTGTCAAGCAGCAAGTCTACCCCATACTCTTCCTCAACGACTCGTCGAACTGGCCCACCGGCGATATGAGAGCGACGTCCTTGCAGACAGCGATGCGCCTGGCGCACAGGTTCGGGCTACATGGCGTCGCCATGTCATCAGAGCCTTTTGTTCACAGCCCCGGAACTGTAGGGCTAGCTAGAGGTCAGGGGCTCTACACGGCATCATACGGACCGCTAAACGACGAAGGAGCCAGCGTTGAGGTAGGATGTTTCCATATTGCTGCCAAGGATGTTGCTGATGATATCTAAGATTCAAACGAAAGCTGGTGTTGATCTGATCATTGTCAACAAGGTCAAACTGATGAGGCAGTTTGTTGATGGAGCTAAGCCCTAGAGATTGCTGATCCTCAGCGAAGCTCGGAATCCGCGTCAGAACTAAGACGGAGCGGTTGGGATGAATCCCAGGTGTAGGAATAAGGGCTTTATTTCCACCTAGTAGCCTTAACTGCCTGCTTGTCGCTTCCTCCCTCCATTGGGAAGTGACCTCACAAATGACATTTATTCATTGCCCTTTCAGCAACAGGAGTGACCCCAGTTGAGTGTCAAAGAGATCAGGAAAGATAGACACATGACGTGGCCACTACCGTTGTGGGCAACGAGTTGTTCGGATGGGTAATTCTTCCAATCCGACACTTGATTAGAAGCTTTCCTGTAGACCTCCAGGCACTGTTTGAGACCGAAATCCTTTTGTAGCTTAGCCTTCTATGTCTCCCGCGCATCTCCGGCGCCTTGTCCTATTGAACTATTGGTTGGTGAATAATTGTGTCTACTAATCGTGTTCAATTCCCACTCAATCACCTCTGCTGTTTGATGCCGTATATGCGCGCCCATTATAAGATGATATATAAAAGCGTTCCCAGCGGATAAGCCCACAAGTGGGTGACAGGAGAAATAAGACATCTAATGGAAGAGTGGTTAGGAATAGACTTATTTCTAAGATGAATCGAATAAATCAATCAAGCATTGACATATCAAAGCTATGAATCACGAAGCTGACACCCTCTTCACGATCGCCCCCCGCAGCCCCTCCACACTCTCCACCGTCTCAATCCCAAACCTCTCGCACACAATGAGCACATTCCCCCTCTTCCAATACCCCTCCGGACAACAGACAACGACCTTTCCCGGCAGGCGCGCCGACAGCCCCAGCTCAAGCAGGCTGATGGGCGCCTGCGTCGCCGGGTGGAAGTACACAACCACCAGGTCCGCCTCGTCCTGCCTTGCGAGCTCCCACTCGACCTGGCCGCGGTACGGCGCGAAGTCGACGTCCTCGCGCCACGAGCCGTCCCAGTCGGCGCGGTAGGGGTTGAAGAGGGTCACGGGCACGTCGGAGAGGGAGGCCGCGAGCATCTCGCGCCAGTCGCCCTCGTCGACCTTGCTCGTGGTGCCGGCCAGGAAGACCGACTTGACCCCGCGGCGGGGCTTGTCCTCCGATGGCGCGTAGATGACCTGGGCCATTCTCGGGAGTGATGAGGAGTAATTCTTGCGGGTGGCTTGAGGAAATGAGCGCTTGAGGAGCAGGGATGGGAGTTGTTGCCAAACGTTCGGGATTTTGATTCCCATTTACCAAGTAGGTAGCTTTGGTTGTTGGGAAACCTGTCCCAGTCAGGTGGGTGACCTTGAGATTGAACACTTAAGCATAAATTAGGCTGCTTACTGTCGAGTCTGCGACCGATATTATCAAATTATTGAGTACTAATAATATTCACTTTACAGATACTAAGGTAAATATTATTACTTTCTTTTATTTTATACTACTGAATTTCTCTATTTATTGCAGAAAGCAGTTAATTTATAACCACTCTTCCATCAGGTATCTCATTTCTCCTGTCACCTACTTGCCAGTCAATCCAGCAATCGATTGGTAGTATTACGGGACCGAAAGTGCACCAAATTCACTTCAGCTTCCCAGTGGATAAACCAGCAGTCATCAGGCTAACCGGTGTATCACAGGAATATGGTTTACATGGCAGCGGCTTAATACGTCAATACGGTGGGCTGGCAAGTGACTGAAATAAAGCATGGAACACCGAAGCCTCCAGACCGCCTCTGATTCTGACACAATATCGAAACAATTAACCCAGTTATCAAAATAATAGCAAGCTAGATAATGTAGAATAATTTATTATTTTACTTTTATTGTTTGAAATATTATTAATAAGAGAAAGAGGTCTCTAGCTTGTACAAAAAACAACAACAAAAAAGAGCTCTGGTGTGCTGCACCGACGGAGGTCCTTTTCCTGTGTGACGTTGTTGCCTGAGGCCTTCCACCTGCAGTTCACGTACAAACCTTCTTTTGTCTCCTTCTGTCTCCTTCTCTCTCCTCTCGCTACATACCTTTGTTAACTTAGAATCACGCATTTTGCCAACCAAGATGGCGCGTCTTCTTCTCCTGGACCTACCGGCAGAAATTCTCCACCTGATTGCCAGTAAGCTCCCCAACAGCGGGATCAAAAACCTGCGCTTAACGTGCTCGTTTGCACAAGTGGTGTTCCGACTCCGATTCGACCGAGTATTCCTTTCACCACACCAACGCGATATCGATGTTTTCTGTCAAGTGGCCTGTAGCGAGACATTTAGACATCAGGTTGTCGAGCTGGTTTGGGACCAGAACCAGTTTTGTCCAGGCGAGGTCGAATGGGAAGATTTCCAGTTCGACGCATTTACTGTTCTCGAATCATACGAACTTGCAACAGAGATGGTTCGTTTCCAGCGCAATCGAATTGCGAAAGTTGGTTGCCTGAGATCGGACGATTTCACTCCTTTTGGCGGTATTAACATGCCTGTTTCTCGCATTGCCAAGATCCATACATATGTTCAAATACGTCGAGAGACCAATGAGGAAAGGAACAATGATTCTTTCGCACTAGAGCACCACATCAACCGCTTCCCTTCACTGAAGCGGATAACCATCAGCCACTCGACCAACGGCTGGCTTTTCGAGCCATACTACGAAACACCTCAGATTAGAAGTTTCCCTTCCGGCTTTATGTACGATATCGAACGATCTGACCCCCCGATTGAACCATTATGGAATGGTTTTGGTAGAATTGATCCCAGCGAATACGCAGAGAGCACTCGTGCCTATGGGGCCATTTTCAGAGCACTTGCCGGCGCCAAGGAGCTACAGCTTGAGGAGATTGTCATGGAGAACCCCAACGGGGTCAATTATGGCCTTCCTATTGCTTTCTTCACGCAGCCATTAGCATTGGATTATTTGAATCTTGTCGAGCTTCTCCGCCGCCCACACCTTCGCCGATTTGACCTTGTCGTCACGAAATGGGGCGAAATACCAGATAATGGGCTTGGGCCCCATCCGCCCGCAACACTTTTGAACGCCGCACTGGGGAAGGCTACATCCCTGACACACTTCAGCTTCAAACTAACCACTTTTTATCACCACCCAGCTAACAATTGGTTTCCTCTGAAAACCTTGTTACCTATCAATCGTTGGACAAACTTGCGGCACTTCGAACTTGCCCACTTGGCGGTCCGACAGAACGACCTTGCGAATCTTCTTGGTGGATTGCCCCAAAGCATTCGATCTATTGAACTTGGTTTTCTTGAGTTCTTCGAGGAATCGGAGAGTCTCGCCGGGCTTCTTGACGAAATACATGAGAGGGCTTTTTGGAGTGGAAGAGATGAAATGAACCGACCTCGCCTGGGAATCTCCTTGAGCGTAGGCCAATGCGCATCGAGAAGCATCGCCATCAGGGTGGATGCTGAAATAGAAACTTTCCTATACAAGCAAGGAATGAACCCATTCCGTGGTTCACAACAACCTGATGACGTCGAGTCGGGAAAAGGGACGGAAAGGGATGTCTTCAATCCAGAGTACGAATGGCCTCGTGATGAAGATTTCGATTGGCAAGTAGAAATCGACAGGGCCGAGAAGCGGCTGTCAAGGATGTTGATGATAAGCGAGGGTAATTTACGCCGCATTGAGGATGCGGTGAGTACGATGGAGGTTGATGTGGAAGCGATGAGATTTGAAGAGAATTCCCATGGATGGTGAGGCCTCACTTTTAATGTAGGTTTTCGGAGGGCTTGATGACTGCTGGGCCAAGTGGGTGACGTTGAAATTGAGACAGTCTAACATTAAGCTGCCTATTCTCGAGCCTACGATCGATATTATCAGATTATTGAGTGCTAATAATATTTAATTCAAAGATAATACGGTGTATGTTGTCGCATTATTCCATTTTATACTACTGAATTTATCGTTTCAACTGCTTCAATAGATAGCCAATAGCACTAAGACCTTAGAGGCCTCGTCAGCTAGGCAGACAAAGGCACTTCCCAGCGATGGTCGTGAAGCCTGACACCGAATCGTGTGGACGAACGATCCCATCTCACAGTGGCTCATCCCCATGGATCAGCGAAGGCTCGAAAGGATTACCCTTTAGGGAAGCTGTGGGTGTGAGGCCAGACCCTGGAGATATCATCCTTGGCTTCGGGTGCGGTGCCCGCGGATCAGATCGCAGCCCTACTAGAGTGGCTTGGCGGGCGGCAGTGCATGAAGCCACGCAAGACCATTTCATCCATCGCGTGTATATAGCTGGTCTGTCCTGGTCACGGTGATATGTGTATTTATCTGTAGGATTGTCCAGCTTCAAGATAATTGTATTCTATTAAGCGGTTTTCAAGTTGAAATCAATTACAATTGACGACAAGTCAACCCAGAACTCGACATGGGCGCCCAGCCAGAAACTCAGACGTCTGCCGATCTTAAGAAAGAACAAGAACTCCAATATACCAGTCCTGCAAATGAAGATCAGGCGGACCTTGACCTGGCGAGCCTACCAGCAGACAACCCTCCACCATACAGCCCTCCATCATATGAACTTGCAGTCCAAGACCACCCCGGTCTCAGTATCCGAGATGAGAAGAATCCATCAGGCTTCACCCGCAATTCACTCGACGAGACAGGAGAGCCGAGCTGGCGTATAGAGACCCCAGCCCTGCCTCGACGCCTAAGAGATGCCACCGACATCCTCTCCAAACCCATTGCCCTCCCCACCGTCCGATCTGCCCAGGGCTCCCCCTATATCCGCGCCTACCCTTTGGAGCTCGCCAACGTCGGCATCACGCGCGAGACCTTCCTCAGCTTCCTCGACCACGTCAACCGCGCCGTCGCCGACAACCCGCCCCTCCTCGCCGTCGGCGTCGTCGGCGGCGTGGTCGGCCTGGTCCCCGAGCCCACGGCCCAGCTGGCGGGGAGCGTCATCGAGCTCGCGGCCGATGTTGGTAACGTCGCGCTCGCCGAGGGCCGCACGGAGCTGGTCCTCCGCAAGGCGAACATCGACATCTTCCACCCCGTGGGGCTGCAGGTCCGCGTCGCCAAGCTCGAGGCCGTGGCCAAGATCGCGGGGATGCCCTTCCTGGACGCCGAGAGCGGGAAGCTGACTTCGGGACTGAGGGTGCTGGCGCCGCTGGACGACGAGATGGAGCTGAACACGTTGGGGGTGCAGCGGCGGAGGCTGCGGGACCTGGAGGAGTGGCTCTCGCCGCTGGATCTGGAGGAGCTGCCCGGGGTGGAGATGCCGAGCTCCGTGATGGGGAAGATGCAGGTCAAGATGAGTGAGTTTCAGCGCAAGATGGAGGAGGAGGAGTTGATGAAGACGCGCAAGAAGTCGCTAGGGAAGTATACGGAGGCGAAGCAAAAATCACAAGAGAAGTACGAGAGGAAAATTAGAGAGTTGGACCGGAGGGTTGAGAAGGTAGGGCAGAGGGTCGGAAAGGATGGGAAGAAACAAAGCACGGAGGAGATGGTATGGGAAGAGAACGATAAAGATGAGGCAATGAAGCAACAAGATTCAAGCAAAGACGAAGAGAATGATTTCAACCATCAGGCTGGAGAGATCTCGAGAGGCAGCTCTAATACCCAAGCCAGTATGGACAGATCGACAACGGAAGACAGTACCACAGAGAAGTGCGCAAAACAGGAAGAAAAGGAAAGAAAGAAGCAGGAGAAGAGGGCGGAGAAGGAAGAAAGACGGGCGGAAAAAGAAGAGAAGAAGGCTGAGGAGAGGAAAAAGAAGGAGGTAGAGCGAGCCGAGAGGGAGAATAGAAGGCGAGAGGAGAAGGGGAAGGAAATAGAAAAGAAGGCCAAGAGGGCAGAGGAGAAGATGGAAAGGGCGCTGACCAGGGCGGAAGAGAAGCGCGTGGCCCTCCGGGAAGATCACGAGAAGGAAATCAGGAAGAAGAGTGAGGAGTACGAGAAGAAGGACAAGGAGCAGAGGGCAATTAAGAAGATCAACTGGTTGATCATCACGGAGCGGAACAGGATGGAGCGGAGTTTAGTGACCGCTCTGAGCCCAGGACGAACAGATCCGTAGAAGGCTAGAGGACCTGAAGAGAGACGTATAGGTGTAATAGCTGTCGCGCTTCCTTGCATGCCAAAGAGTTCACGAATTTTCTAGCTACAAAAGCAATTTCCTAATGACACCCCTTGAATCACTCATGCTGAAGTATGTCCTTTGCCTCCGGTCTTTTCTGAGGATCCCACTGTAGCATCTTCAATATTAAATCCACAAAGACCTCCATTTCGCTCTCTGGCACATCATAAGGTTTCTTTATCCTTGTGCGATGCCAAATATCCCCCTACTGAAAATTTGTCTCGTCGAATGACTTCTCGTATATCGACTTCTCCTGTTCCGACAGGTCCAAGGGGTTGCTGGCCTTGTCAATGTACTCATCGGCTTGTTTCCAGTTCGCTCTTATCTCTCAGGGAACCGGACCCAGGCGCCGCGCAAGATCATGGAGCTGGCGAAATCGGCTGTATCCAGGGCCACCCTCGCTCAGCATCTCAACCAACTCATCCAGCATCACGACCTTCCAGCACAAGAGGCCCGCTGAGAAGATATCAGCCTTGTGTGTGAGTTTCAGGTCGAGCAGATCCTCTGGGGGGCGATAAACATGCTTGGTACTAATTGTGTATTTGTCACTCTTGGGAAAGGGCAAGACGAAGTCCAAGTCACCTAGAATAACCCTGAATGGCTTGCTCAGATCCAGTTGCCCTTGTAGAGCTGTCCTCCTGACGGTGTACTGGAATTCGCCTGGCTTAGGGTCTTTGCCATCCACTCGTATGAGCATTTCGATATCATTGCGCGTACCCATGAGATTGGCTATGTTCCATTCCTCAGAATGCGGCAATGCCAACGGATCGCCTCGGCCAAATGTCTCCCATTTGTCATCGACAATTGCTTCAAACTCTGCATATTTCTGGCGCCTCCGATCGAAATTTTCTAGCCATTTCCTGTCTTCCTCTGCTTCTTGTTCTCGTCTGAGCCGTTCTTGGGCATCCGTGATGGTACTCTCGACCTCATCCATCGTCGTCGTCTCTTCATCGTTTCTCTCGTCATCCTCCTCCTCCTTTTGCATGTCATCGGTAGGCCAAACAGATTTTTGAATCTCATTCTCATGAAACGAAGAAATATCATATTGCAACGCGGTAAATACATTTGTAGGCCGGATATCGCGATGGGCGATCTGCCTGCTGTGTAGGAAGCTCAGTCCAGATAGGACCTGCCAGCAGATCGTCTTAGCTGGTGCAGTCAACCAACCATCGCCCTTCTGTGCTTTCCACTGCGAAGGTTTACACTCGTTGAGCTCCCCACGACGCTCATAGGCCTCATCCAGGATGGTACTGAGTGAACCGCCAAGGGGTTCTAGCACCTTGCAAGAGTGGCTGCCATTAGGCCCGGTAACTGTAAATGAGCCTCGGGATGGGCTCTCCACAAACTCCGCTCCCGAGTGAGGGGATTGATCTCGCATTAACCATTGATCAACCCTGTCCTGGTGTATGCCTGCATCTGCCCCGAAGTCTTTGACAGTGACATATCGTCTTTCCTGCTTACTGGAAGAATGGGGTTACTTCAGTGAAAATAGATGAAGAAAGCCGGTCGGAAGATCTACCTGCTGTCTCTAGCCAGCCAGACGGTAGACTGGCCCCCAGAACCTAACTTGCGGAAGATGTGGTAGCGACTATCAAGAACATCGCCGAGGTGTACTGGGTGAAAACCACCGGGCCAATAATTGTCAGTACCCTCCTGTTGTGCGAATATCAGTCAAGTGCACATTTTTACGGTGAGGGTCTCCCACCTACGCCCATGTACCGACGGTTTCTATAGATGGGTGGAGGCGACATTTTGGAAGTTATCCTGCGATGGATTTGGGGAACAAGAGGGAGACGGGAAAACGGTGAGGGCAAAGTAAAGCGCAACTTTTCTATGGGAACCAACTGCGAGACAAGCGTGCTCGCAAGCCATCAAAATAATCCGGCCGCATGCTGTTGGTTGTCTTGAACGCACCTAATTATCTCGTAGTAAGAAAGGAAATGATGCAGTCAGCCTTATTCTGGGGCTGAAGCAGACGAAGTGGGCGAGCTTTCTCAGGAACTGATCACCTAACTACCTACCTAAATATATCATCACAACTGCCCAAGCGTCATTAACATGCATAAATCCTGCCACCCTGCCACCTCCATTTAGGTTTCTACTTTGATCAGCCACATGTCCATGAAACAAAATGGCATCTTTGCGAATTAGGATACTCAAATTGGGGTTGACAAGAGACCAATATCGTCCATGTAGGAATGACTACATCAGAGCCGGCCCGCGAGCATCAAATACTACCTCACGGTCCTGCAGATGATTTTGCAATCTTAGCACCCGAAGCCGGCACCATAGCAGCCTCACGATCTAGCTTGTAGGTACCGTCTGCCGGCTAATGTTCTTGTGCACTGGCCGAGTACTAGCACCCATGAAGGAACCGAAACTGATCGTGGGGCTGTACTGGCGCCAGATCCGGGGCTTCGATTGCAAAATCATCTGCAGGAGCGTGAGGTAGTATCTGATGGCCGAGGGCCGGCTCCAATATAGCGAAACCGGTCTGGGCGAACGATTGCCGTGCTGCGAGTCTCCGCGCTGGTTCATGTTGTTGTATGGAAGCGGGGATCATGATCGATCATACGAGATGAGCCTTCTGTAAGTGGAACAGCCGGTAGTTCCTCGGAAGCCCGGACAAAAGCTTCTCCGGACAATGCTGCCAAGACCTGGACCCTGATTACATAACCACATCAAATGACGTTCCCGCCTTGAGCCGCGCCCAAATTTGTGGTGTGGCTTCGGTGAGGCGTTGCTTTTTAATTGAATTGTTGGGAGACGCCCATCAGGAACATTTTAGCAAGCAATCCCACCAATTAAGCGTTATCCTGCGCTAGGACAGCTCCTACGTCAGGCGTTGGAAGAAAATAACAATCACCTCCACTCCCCTTATCCTTTTTCCTTTGTTTTCTGCTAGTTCCCGGTTCCGGAAGCCTCCGCTCCTCGTTTGCTCGGACCACCAGATCCAAACCATCTTTTCTTCGTTGCTCTCCGCTCCCTCCCCTCGTTTGGCCATGTCGGCTCGCCTGTAGCAGTCCTGTTTGGCTATTAACACTAAGACGAACCGCGAGTGCGAGTACACGAATTGCGCCACGGCCTTGCCCTTATCTGTCGCCGTCGCCGTCCTCCCAGACTCCCTCCCTGGTGGCGAAGACCGTCTCGAAATCAGTACACTCCGCCGAGCAAGCAACCGATCAAAAAACTCGCCCGCCTATCAATCGATTATGGCCCTGGCCTCTCCGGCTTGCTGCCGGACTGCCGCACAATGTACGCCCCGAATACCACCTCTCCTTGCCCAGGATCGAGTTACCCCTGCTGACCCTTGCGCCCAGTGCGATTGCAACTGCTCTCCAGGATACCAACCACAAAGACTCTGGCCACGTCTTCGCGGACGCTACACGACCGTTCCCTCACACGTTTGTATTCTACGACGCCCCTCCGGGCAAGCGCACCGAATATGTTTTCCTATTACATCGCCGCATCCTTCATTGCCAAGGATCACCCGTTCCACCCCACCACGCACGTCTACCACTTCGACCCCAACGTGAAGAGAGAGATCAACCCGTCTCGATCGAGAGCCGCCAACCGAGCAGGCCGCCCAGAATCAGGTCACGATGCCTTCTTCGTAAGCCAAGTAAACGGTACCGGCTCCGTCGCTTTTGGGGTGGCCGACGGCGTCGGCGGCTGGGTTGATTCCGGTGTCGACCCTGCCGACTTTTCCCACGGGTTATGCAACTACATGGCCGAAGCAGCCCAGACACACGAGGACGACGAGCCAGGCCGCCAGTTGACGGCGCGCAATCTTCTGCAGACTGGGTACGACGCAGTATGTCGAGATACGTCGGTCCGCGCTGGTGGTAGCACGGCCTGTGTCGCCGTCGCGCGGCCTGATGGCACAGTCGACATTGCCAACCTGGGCGACTCGGGTTTCATCCACCTGCGGCTCAATGCTGTGCATGGAGTTTCGGAGCCCCAGACGCACGCATTCAACACTCCATTCCAGCTAAGCCTGATTCCACCCCGGATGGCCGAGCGCATGTCCACCTACGGCGGCATGCAGCTCTGCGACCTGCCCCGCGACGCCGACGTTTCCGAGCACGACCTCCGCCATGGCGATATCCTCTTGTTTGCGACGGACGGGGTGCTGGACAACCTGTTCAACCAGGATATCCTCCGTGTGGCATCCCGTGTCATGGTGGGCGCCGGTGCGTGGGAGATGACGGAGAACAAGGGTGTCCGCGTAAGCGACAAGCTGTTTGATCTGTGCGAGTTACAGAGCGCCGGGGGCGATGGAACCAGCCGTGTCTCGCTGCAGAGCGTGCTGGTCACACAGTTGGTCGCAGCAGCCAAGCGGGCGAGCATCAACACCCGTCTGGACGGGCCCTTTGCGAAGGAGGTGCAGCGATATTACCCCGACGAGAATTGGCGAGGCGGTAAGGTAGACGATATCTGTGTCGTCGCGGCTGTGGTATGCCAGGACGACATTAAGCCAGAGAAGAGCAAGTTATAGTTCTTGCCTGCAGATACCGACCGGAAAGGGGGATCATAATTACGAGCTGAGCTTCTTCTTGCTTGCTTTCTAATATGCTATAGACAGGGTACGCCGGGGTAAGAGGAGGAAAACAAGGTGTTGACTCGGCTTCAATCATTTTCTGGGATCTTACTACTATTTTCTTTGCTTCTCTTGATAGACTAACCCATAGAGACGGAGAACGCGAGTGGCCATACGGGCGGAAGGATTCATCAGGCTTGCCATTTTTTCTGCAAAGGGACATTGGGAGGGGAGAGCATGACCGGGCATACGAATCACACGGAAATGAGTGCTTTTGTTATTTTTAAACTAGCGGCACGTCATCAGCATAGCATTACATGGGACGAGCACTGGGAACGCAAACAGGCGTGACGAAAGAGAGGGAGATGCTGCGAGTACGGCTGTGACTGTGTGCAACGGCATCAGTTGCTGGAACAAAGATATAAATCTAGGTCCGTAGTCCTCGATCAGTAAGGATAGCCAGTCACCTACAACGGACATACGATCTAAATAAGAAGAAAACATCAAATTATAAGACAAGCCCCGAAGTATATTCTACAGCCATGTCTACGTACTCCCACGACGACGTGTCCCGCGTCATGCACCGATGTGTCAACGACGGCATCGATCCCATCGCCGCGGCCAACAAGATCAAGGGTCTGGTCGTGCGAAGTCCCTCCGAGTACGAGTTTTCCGCCTTTGACAAGATATGGTCCGAGGCTATCGCTATGGCTAAATCTTGGGAGGTGATGGACGAGCGCCACGGACGGCTCGCCAACCTGTTTGCCGAGCTCAGCAGGCTTCGTGACTCTGTAAGTAATTCCTCACTTACCATTCATTTGGAAAGCAACCTACTGATGCTGAGTACAGCGTCTCTCCTGGGAAGACTTCGAGCACCGCTGTCCAGACGACGACGGCATATTCAGAGACGGTATCATCCCTTCTACTCCTCCCATCATCACCAGTATGTGCTGACCATCTCTCTCCCAAAGCCCGCTTCACTATGGGAGTCTCAATGGGCTTCCCCCCCGAAGGCGAAGTCCTCTCCCTCTGCGGCTTCCTCGCCCGCCTCGTCACCGCCGGCGTCGCAACCCACCAGCTCTCCCACCTCGCCATCCCCTGCATCGACCTGATCGAGCCGGGCATGGACCAGTACCGTGACGGGTCAACCACTTATGTGCCCCGGAAGATGAGCACCCTCATCAGCCCGGAGCGGTTCCAGGTCGCTGACTTCTGGCTGCACGCGTGCGGGAAGCAGATCTACGCCTCGGGGCAGGCCGTGCTCGACAACGAGTCCGGTCAAGATATTTGTGAGGCGTTCCAGTTCCCGCAGGCGCCGACGGGGAGCACGCTGCCGATGCCGCTGCGGTGTCAGTTCCGGCACACAAAGGCGCAGCTGATCCGGTCATGGAGGGCGTGGGAGTTCTTGTTCAGGTCGTATGCGGGGCGGGCGGCGGGCGAAGAGGCGGAGGAGGGGGAGGAGGAGAGGAGGCTGCTGGGGCTGGCGAGGGGGATGCTGGAGTATATGGAGATGGTTGAGTCGGAGTATGAGAGGGCGGTGCATGGGGATTTGGGGGCCATGGAGGCGATGAGTTCCTTTGCGGGGGTTTGATGGGCGGCTACATGTGTTACCTCGTCCTGTAGTTAGTTATTTACATAGGGATTGTGGGGGTAGGAAGTGGTGGTGGAAGGGTTCGAATGGCTTGAAGCTAGCATTGTAAGTCTGTCGTGATATATTGGAGGGTGGTGTTGATACTCCAATCACGCCCATGACTGATGATGGTTTGTTTTCAGAACCTTATCTACGAATTGATCTCTTTCCACTATTTTACAGATCTCGATTGGATATAATTGAAGTGTAGAAACTTAGTGATGGCTGTGGCCTGAGATCGTCGTCATGATGTCATCCATCTACAACTTGTCCAACATGCGATTTCCAGCGACAGAGAATTGCACATTTCTATCACCCCCGATCTCTCTGGGGCCTGTTTTGCATTTTACGCGCATAGAAGAAAATGCCTTTTCCTTAAAATCATGACAGATATCTACGCGGTCGGTTACTTTTCTTCTACTACGGCCGCCCGCCAGCCACTCGCTGACCATCGTACAGGCTGGTGCTCTTGCAGCGTTAACTATCGATGCCCTCGTTTATCCCCTAGATACCATCAAGACTCGATACCAGAGCCAAGACTACATAAGGCACGATGCTTCAAAGCCTCTGAAGCCATTGGCCCTCCGAGGCCTCTACCAGGGCATCGGCAGCGTCGTCCTCGCAACCGTGCCAGCAGGTGAGCTCACCAGCGTCACATCGATTCAATGTAGCTAAACACAATTCAATCTTGCAGCTGGACTCTTCTTCTCGACATATGAGAACACCAAGACCCTCTTCTCCCAAGCCGTGCCCTCCGCCCCGACGCCGCTCATCCACGCCGCCGCCTCAGCCACCGCCGAGATGGCCTCGTGCCTCGTCATCGCGCCGGCCGAAGTCATCAAACAGAACGCCCAGATGCTCAACGCGTCAAACAAGCCCTCCTCCTCGACCTCCTCCTCGACGTCAATACAGGCATTCCGCATGCTCGGCACGGGGAGAGGGTCCGCGCGGAGGCTGTTCATGGGCTACACGGCCCTCGTGGCGCGGAACCTGCCCTTCACGGCGCTCCAGTTCCCCATGTTCGAGCACCTGCGCGCCAGGCTGTGGGCGTCACGGGGTGGAGACGAGCCATCGAGGAGGGAGCAGCAGCTGCTGGAGACGGGGGTGATCAGTGGAGCGAGTGCGGGGAGCGCAGGGGCGGTGGCCGCGTATATCACGACGCCGAGCGACGTGGTCAAGACGAGGATGATGCTCTCCGCGGGCGAGAGACGGGGGGACGACAGTCTACAAGGGAAGAAGAAGGCTAAGCTGGGCGCGTGGGCGGTGACACGGCTCGTCTACAGGGAGAGGGGGATCCGTGGCTTCTTTCGCGGAGGGCTGTTCCGGGCGGGATGGACTGCGCTGGGGAGCGGACTCTATCTGGGGACGTACGACGTGGCCAAGCTGTGGTTGAACCGGAGGAGGGCCAACAAGAGTGATAGTGCAGGGTTGTGATCTCTCTCTCTCTCTCTCTCGGCCCCGGATTCGGGGATTTCGAGTCGTGCTATTTAGGATTTGACCAGGGTGATGGCATCATCCCGAACTCGGCAAGACTCAGACGAATGCTGAGAGATGACTGGTGGCTGAGTCAATCTTGCATGCTTAGCAGAAAAACGGTGAGGTTTAGCACAATGTTCCTTTTCTTCTGTAGATCATGCGATAATGGCTGCTTTGTTGCATCCTCGGCTTGATGTATTATTACTACCTTAGTCATGGGCAGATGCGCACCATGACCAGGCCCAGCAAGCCAATTGAGGTGCATTTTGAATGCACATGGGTTTCAATTGTGTATATATGGCAGGTGTGTGAATGAACAACGTCCGACCACAGGGGGCTGGGTGAGTTGGATGTCGACGTGGAAGCATATGCAAGTTACCAGGTGTGATGGAATCCTTTTGACGCATTGCAGAGCCAAGGAATGCAAGCCACGGTTGGCGGATAGATAGCAGCATGAAACGCCTGATAAGCACGCCATCGGAGTTTTTCAAACGTCAATTGCAAATCCCCGGTGCTCAGAGTTTTCCGTCTACTATTAGGGTTTCCCTGCCCCCTTTCCCAGCCGAGCCGAGATTGTGCTTGAGTCAGCACGGGCAGAGATTGAACTGTCTCTAGAAACTTCACCAGAAGCCGTTATCAGTCAATGGAACTAGTGTCCGCCTTGAAAATTCGACTGGGGACTCATAGATTAGAAATGAGACCCGGCTCACCGCTGCCAGTGACGATTACCTCCTTCTCCCCACGATGATGCTCATCGATGCGGTTGCGCAACCACGGCAGCCAACGACCTCATTTGCACTAATTGGGCAATCACTCGTTTCCGATTGGCTCCTCGTTGCGTGCTAGATCTGTCTTCCCCTTTGGCTCCGCGCTTGAGGCTGGACTAGCCCCTTGCCCTTGCCCCTTCCCGTGCCTCGACCGTCTGCCTGACCTGACAAAGACGACGGGGGAAGATTCGTGCTCACCTGCCACTGCTACTTCCATTGTTCAAGGGCGAAGTGGGGAGGACCCTGAGAGACCAAGCACCATGCGTCCAAATGACGAATCTCGCCCTCGTGCCCGGCTACCGGCGGACTTCCGGTCATGGCACCCCTTCTGTTAAAAGGGATTGGAATTCCTCCCCCCGAGATCCTCGCAGGTTGTCGAGTATACTGTCCTGACTCGTAGCTATCCACCCACGCCCGGCTAACTGAACGCCTTCTCGGTCTCGAATACCCTCCTACTGAGAGTTTTTTTTTTTTCCTTTGCGTCTTGAACCGCAAAGTTCGTGCCATATAGAGTTTTCACCTAGACCACACGCCAAACCAGCAGTTTCTTGGCCGTAGGCTCAAGTGATCAAGGCGCCTCACGCTACCTCGCCATTCAACAGCCTGTGTGAACAACTTCAAGGGAGGAGGAAGCCGAGATCAAAATGTCTGTGCAGGTCGCCAAGTCGGCGCCCGTGGACTTCACCCTCGCCAGCGAGAAGGAGCCCCAGATTGAGATCGAGCTCATCCCCGGCACCCCTCCCCGGGAAGGACGCTACCTCGTCCAGTCGCCCTACGAGGAGTTCGACCACCTCCTGGACCTCGACACCCTCGACAATGAGAACGCACTGCTCGCCAGGGCGTTGGCGAAGCTGCGAAACGTCCGGGAGGACTACGCGACGGCCCCCTATGTGGAGTCGTTCAACTGGCCGGAGGTGATTGAGGAGCTGAGAGCCATTGCCAGGGAATCCGGCAGCGGGTTCAAGAAGGCGAGTTTCTACGTCGTTGCGTTCCGGTCTCGGATCAAGCCGGACACACATTATGGAGACTTGGGCGAGCTGGACAAGGCCGCCCACGCTGAGGCTATTGCAAGTGGAGGTTTTCTCAAGTAAGTTCCCTCCCAGCTCCCTCTAGATGGGATAAAATGGGACGTGTCTGACTTTGCGCGCTGTAGATATTGGTTCGGCAGCCCAGACTCGCAGTTGGCAAACCTGGCTACATGCCTATGGCGAAGTCGAGAGGATGCCATTGCCGGGGGCCGAGGGCCCGCGCATAGAAAGGCTGCCATGTCGACAAGATCGCTGTACGCTTACTGGAAGATTGATCAGCATCGACTGACAATCTCCGATAATGTTGATGAGTGGGAGATTACGGAATGGGAGTAGGCTGACTCCCTGTTGGGGAGAATTTATTGCGAGCATCAGTGGTTCTGTCTTTCACCAAACTGGGGAATTATACAAACCAAGCTCACTAGATTTTAATGTGATGAGGACATGAATTGGATCGGAGGGAATGGTGGTGGGTGTGTTTAGCCAAAAGCTTCAAGAAGGACATCAAGTCGAAAGCGTTTTATGCGCTCCGCATGGGTTGCATCGTTTGATTAGATTTATCATGAATTAGCAAGTAGAATGGCGCTGGTACTGTTTACATTAGACAAAGCAAATAATAGAATTACACTATCATTCACAAAGTTAGCTATGGCTAGAATATCATTATTCTCCTCAACATGCTGTTAGTTCTCGAGGCCTAGGGTTTCAGCCGCTTAGCTAAGTTTCTTGGCTTATTGGCCACACTGACAGGTTTAATGAATGGTTTCAAATGTGAGATAGGAGACATATAATCTGGCATCACGCCTGGTCCGCGAATTACAATCATATCTCAGAGAATAAATCAAGACTGCGATGCAGCTGGGAACATGTGGAGGTCTACCAGCGTTCTAAGCCCCCAGCCTCAGATATCTAGATTCAAAGGCCCATCACCTAATCATATTCGACCTCCGAAATAAAAATAAAAATAAGATAAACTTCGTTTATCTTATAGGAAAATTAACGTGCCATTATGCTGTCCTCATTATGCTGAAAGCTATCTACTAAACGAACTTCAGTCACTGCGCCACACACGTGGAGGCACTTTGGGCGGCACACTAGGAACTTACGAACCAAATGCTCCCCAGTATTGAAATAAGAACTTTTGGTTTCTGCTCGAGTTAATTCTCTGGGGGAATGGCAATTGTTAGGTAAGCATGTTGCTACCAGTCAGACATGAGTAATGAATCAGGTGGGTAGTGGGCGTGAACATGAACGGTATACGTTGGCTGCCTCAGTGTTGAGAAGGGACATTTGTAAGTCTGCGCCCCCATAACACGCCAGCTCAAATGTTATTTATTAGAAGATACTCCCATTATAAAATAAACCTAGGCACTCGTGAAATTCTGGCTTCAGTCTGCTAATTCCACAATCCACCTGGTCAGAGCGGTGCCTTTCCATCATCATATATGGACTGGACATACATATCCCAGACCCTCTTGGGGGTAATTTATTTTATTTTATTTCTTCTTTCGCTCAATGTTGCTTTCGACATTGCGATCATCACGCATCGCGCGTTGGGATGCAAGTTGGGTGGGATTCTCAGCCGTTTATGGTGGATGAGGTGTTCAGCCGTGATCCTTTTCACGTACGAGTGTCCCGAATCAATATTTCACGTTTGGGCTCACCTTTACTTGCAGGTGGCATGTGGCCTTCCTTGCTGGCGTCTTGTTAGACCTTTACAGCCCCAAGTACTGGAATTTTGACACCATTAGCCAACAAGAAACAAGAATCTCGAATATATTGTTGGCGGATGAACTATGTTATCGCCAGATGATCATAGGTGAAATATGGTTTTGTGTGTTGAGTTTTTCTTATCTACAGACAAGATACCTGAGAGCCGCAATGTTGCACCTTGTTCCCGTCACCATCGGCATTCTTCTCAGGGAGTGGGCCAAGAAGTCAGAAATACCAGATTTATCACCGAGTGGTGACATCTGGGGATCGGTTTGTATAATCATACAACTGTTTCTCGCTATGCACCTCTGGAAACAAAGTCCTAAGGTCGATGGGGTAAGTGATATTCCCAATGCCAAGGCCTGGTTCCTCGGTTATCAAGACCTTGAATTCTGAGACCCGTTTTAGGATGTTTTGCCATCAGCCATCAGCTACATAATTTACACTGGCTATAGGGTATGCGAGACAATGAGAAAGGCTGTGTCTCCGCCTGTGATTTATACGATAGAGCCCAACATCGAAAACGTAATGGTGCAGATCGCTGGAAACCATCGTTTGGATGGAAGCTGTTCAACATCAGTCTGTGGAAAGGGCAGTCGCCGCTATGAAACATGTTCTGCGGCACCACCTTGCCATCTCTCCTATCGGTTCGAATGTAGTTTCACCATTCTCAGGCCCGGATGGTGGTCCCAAGTTTACGTTTTGCTTCTCGTTGGTGGAATTATTTTGGCCTCTCTCTACATCACCTATCGCTCGGCCTCTAGCTTTCGGGATGAAAACCTTATTAGAAGTCTCACCGATAGTCTGGATGGAGAAAACCGCTCAGAGGGTACGGATACTAACGAGAACCATTGAAGGGGTTGTGGGGTGACTGTGGGGTGAAATAGATATATATATTGACAGCATTCTTACCTAGTTTGGAGGTGGAAATCTTCAGAGAAATAGTATAGAGATTCTTAGTTATAGTCGTAAGGTATACTCTTCTTCCTTGCTCAAGTTAATTCACCGTAACTCTCGCTGTCTATTCAATCGTGGACTAATTGATATAAGATCAATAAACAACAGTGCTTCCTTGAAAGGCACCTGGCTGAGTGCTTTGGTGTGTTCACTTGGTCTGCTGATGAATGGCAATGTCCCAAGAGATCAGACCATGATAAGCTTAGTAGAGGCGCGTAACCAGCCGACAGGGCTAAGCACTCGAACCATCAGGGAGATGTTTCTCTCCATTTCGGGACTGAAGCTGGTTGGCTTGATCGAACCTGCTACCGTGGTCACTGTTCCAAGTTTAGACATCGTGTGTGGGGATACCTAGGGATCCAAGCAACCAATTCATCCATCGGCTTTGTATGTATTAAGTTTCGGCATTTGATTCAGTGTCTCGCACAGACTACTAGCATGAAACGAGGCAGTAGGAATGCCGGGGCAATTTAAAGGCGGAAATAATTTCCATAATCGATCACCCCTTACCACGCTCAACTTGGATCAAAAACCCTGCATATCGCCACCTGACTCGCGCAGATTGTGTTTCTCATAAAACACCCATGTCATTAGATGGATTGAAAATGAATTAGCTTATGGTCTTGATATCTATACAAAATCTCTTTGGGAGTATTTGAAGCATCGTTGAGTTCGACTATCTAGTATGTCCGATGTAGGTAGTGTGTTCCACCACACCACAACACGTCTACGCCGTACCCACATGGTTTTCATCAAATCCTTCGGCAGGTATATCTGAAATGAAAATACTGGAATGCGGTAGATGACGATGGGATTTATTGATCAAGGAGCTGGGTAGGAAAGTACTCTGTAAGACAGCAGATATACTAAGCATATGACACGGGGGCACCCTAGTAAGTTTCTATGATTTCTGTTTAAGGTATCTATTATTATTTACCCCGCTTAGTCATTCAGATATACTATGAATGTCTTTTAAGCAAAGTAAGTATAAAGAGATTGGCCATCTTCTGGTATTACCTTTGCCTCTGATCGATCCATCATCAGTTCAAATCACCACCTTTTACCTTTCTTTCCGTTTTCAATATTTCCTTATTGTACCATTCCTCGCTCCTATAATCTTCTGTTATATTATATTTTCTTCTTTAAGTGACCAAGCAGGCTTTGATCACTCAATTTTTGCTCCCGAGTCTTTATCAACAATTCAACAATGGCTGGCTTCAAACAAGTTTTTCTCGGGGCAACTCTCCTGCTCAGCTTCGCTCAGCAAGCCACTTGTACTCCTGAAGCCCAGGACCTGGCTATCAGGTCCGATGACGCTCAGGGTTTGAGTGGTCGGATGGTTGGGGGACCTGGATCGATTAGGCACGATAAACCTCCGCCTCGCCGTCCCCGTTCTTACAATGAGCTAAGTGAGCGGGATCGCCCGGTAAAAACTGGGGGGCCTGGGTCGATTAGGCAGGACAGACCTCCCCCTCGTCGTGTTCGTTCTGAAATAATCAAACGAGACCGCCCAGTAAGAACTGGTGGCCCTGGGTCGATCAGGCAAGACAGGCCTCCTCGTCCTCGTCCCCGTTTTATTGATGATATAAAGCATCCTCTCGGCCCGCCAATCGGAAGACCTCGTCCTCGTCCTCGTCCCCGTTCTGACAATTAGAAAAGAAATAACCAGTCCCTAGGGGCTGCTGGCCCTCGTGGTGGCACAGGTTGGCCTCGGGATCCTTTTATCACCAATGGTGGCTCCTGCTATAATCCTCCTGCTGCTTGTCCCTTTAATAGCGAAAGGCAAAAATAAATCCGTGGAGGATGCTGTCTAACTACCTTTAGTGGGAGTAAGAATAGCAGTTACCCAACTATTAGGAATCGCTTTATTTGGTATTAGTAGTAGTGACCGGGCTTGTTATAGTCAAAGATTTATTAGAGGGGAGGGGGGCGTGGTCGTTCTATTGAGATCCTAGGTTTAGCAGAATTTAGAATCTGAACTGATATCTTACTATACCATTTGAATTTGCTTTCTCGTCCGTGTATGAAATGAGGTGGTATGCATGGCCAGTATGGGATTGGACAGCAGCTCAGTAAGCACGCAGCACGGTTGGGTCCCGACTTTGGCGTTGACGGAGAGTTAGATCGATAATGTACCGAGATATATAGTCAGGGCTGTAGAAGTGCTGAAGAGTCAAGGGCCGCGCCTTTGAACCTCTACCCCCCTGGCAGTTCGCATTGCAGTCCCTGTCTGTCATATTGTTTGGTCTGGTTTCCAAATTCGATGACAGCTAAACACTATCCTATAAAACAATCTCACCAAAGGCTACTTCCGTTCTTAAAACTAATTAATAATTATATAACCTGAGCGAGGTCTGAGCTAGAACTAAGCTAGAACTAAGCTAGAACTAAGCTAGACTGAGGTTAACTGAGGCTAACTGAACTATAGCTATACTTTAGGACTAGCTTATTTTACTTATTAGTACTTTTATAAATAATCTAAATCTTAGTCTATATATAATAAAATACTTACTACTATTTTCTTATACTATTACTATAGATTAAAGTACTATATATTATTCTATTTTAAGATCTTAGTTTTTCTATCTATTTAAAATCTAAACTTATTTCTTATTTCTAAGTATATATTTAATTACTCTATTACTAACTTAATTATAAAGCTATTAAGTTATTAAGATATAGATAGTATATTTTTTTTAATATATAATAACTTATAAACTAGTAATAATAGATAAAGATTAATCTTTCTAATATCTAGTAACTAAGAGATATTTATATTTACTAGAGTAGAAACTAAGCTTATTAATAATATATATATATTAGAAGGATAGTAATATTTATAATTATATAAAAATACCTTAAGTAGATAGTAAGAAGATATTTATAATAGTTAGGTTAACTTATACTGGACAGGGTCTAGGGTAGATCAGGGTTAAACTAATTAGAGTATTATTCTGAATAGTATAATCAGGTTATCTTAGACTGTATAATATAAGTTATTATTAATATATAAGTATTATAAAGCTAGTAATAATAGATATATAGATAATTATATTAATAACTATCTGAGAGAGTATTCTATCTAATAAAGTAAATATATATATATACTAGGGAATTATTAAGACTTAGTAATAATCTATTATTCTGGATTATTAGGATTATTATAAGATCCTAATAATCTACTAGTAATTAGTTAGAAAAAAGTAGAGTAATCTATATAATTTTAATATATAATAATATAATTTATAATATAAGGTTCTCTTTCTATTAGTTATATTCTTAAGACTATATTCTATAGCCTGTTAGTAAGTCTTTTCTAATTTAATTCTATATTCTCTTTATAGTCTGTAATAATATCTAACTATATATAGAAAACTTCTTATAAGAAGATCCTTTAGTATAATACTCTTATTAATACTATCTTACTAAATCCTTTAGTAATATAGTTAGAGTATAGCTATTATAAATCCTATAGTTATAAATACTTTAAATTAGAGAGTTCTTTATTTTATTATTTTTACTATATTAAAAATAATTAGCTATATTATAATACTCAGGGCCTTATACTAGGTTAGCTAAGATATATTACTAATTAGTATAATAAACTAGAGTCTGAGCTAGAGGCTATAGAGGAGGAGTATTATTATATAGATATAAAAATCTAATATCTTTATTAATAAAAGAAATTATAGTTAGATAAGATAATATAGGTAGTATCTTATAGTATTAATAGTATAGAGGAACTAGAGTATATTAAGTAAAAGAAGATAGAGGAGGTAGTTTAAAAATAGATCTTATCTCTAGTTATATCTTTATCTGAGTTTATATTCTTAGAGATTAAGATTAATCTGGTATTTCTTTAGAAGAGTATAGAACTATCTTCTTCTTAGTTTATTAGGATAGGTATTTCTAGTTCTAATAATATTACTAAATAAGCTTCTAATAATCCTTTAAATACTTAATAGGTTCCTAAGTATTATTATTATTAGTATATTCTTTTTATTTTACTAAGTAAAAGATTTACTTATTTCTAACTTCTTTTTTTAGAATTTTTTCTAATTTAAATTCTTCTTTATAGACTTTAATTAGATAATCTTAGTTTAGTATATTCTTTAATACTTTTTTAAGTAATAAGATATAAAAAGTTAGATAGATATATATTATATCTAGTAATAAAAGTTTATAGTTAATATCTGATTTTTTCTTAAGAATTTTAAATAGTTTAAGTTTTTTATAGTTTAATTTATTATTTAGTTTTATTATTATAATATTTTTACAGAGTAAGTAGATCTTATCTCCCTTCTCTAAGATTAGTTCTTTTAATCTATTTTTATTATAGTATTTTTTTATTCTCTATTAGATAAATTTAAGTTCTATTTTTATTTCTATATATAATAAGTATAATATTTTCTTTATAAGTATAGTAGCTAGTATATTTAGTCTATTAAGTTCTAGTTAATTCTGGAATTATAGTTTATAATTATAATTTATATATATAGGTATTAACTAGGTAGATTCTTATACTGAACTATTATAAGTAATCTATACTATTAGTAGTAGTTATATCTAATTATCTTACTTATAGTTAATATATATTTATAGGTATTATTCCAGAGTTTAATTTAATTATTCTATTTAATTATTACTTTAT